CCCGTTGCTGGCAGTACCCTTGAATCCTTTATCTGTGACCAGCAAAGTCATAAAAGTTGTATCAGGATGATTACACAACTGTGTGGGTGAAAATCACAATTTCTTTTGCTTTCTTGTGAATGGATTTGCCAAGCAGTAATAAAGTCCAATAATAGCCACTGTCTTCTGTTAAGATACTAAAGTCATTCGGTACCAGAAAAGTACTATTCAGCATGGTGATACAAGCATCTTACCTGCCCTTTCAGGAGAGAACAGTATGGCCCACTGGACAGCCAGATAGGAAACGCAAGCAAGCAGACAGAGCTTTGAAACCCACGGTGACCTTTCATGAGCGAGCAGCTATATAACATCCTGCCTGCAAATTGGATTTTGCACCCCGGACACTTTTGTCTGCAATGAAAACTTTCCAGGGAAGAAGAAATTGATCCATTTGGTGATTAAAATTGAACCCTCTCTTCACACTGCATAACATCGACCAGAAAAAATATTTAGACAGTGCCAGTGGTTTTATAGTTGAATGAGGGAAAGTAAAAACCCCAATTTTATTGTATTTGTTTCAGCTATAAATGCACTCATTAATTCGTACAAGACAAGGCAATGAAACACATCATTCTCCTGACTGGGGGGAGGGGGAGGGGGCCAAGCATGACACTATTGGCCTCCTCAGCTGCAGCTGCTGCATTCAGATTTGAAGTTTTAATGAAAGATCTCAATACATAGGAACACAATACATGTTTTTTTTTTCTTTTCTTTTCTTTTCTTTTCTTGTCTCACACACCATGACTCGGGCCAGTATTCTAAAGAAAAGATGTGCTAAACTGTGATGAGTTGTGTTCCGGGATCCCTTTGTTAATATTTGCCAGATTAGTTTTGTTAAATAGGATTATGCACACATTGGTATTTGTGTTTTGTGTGTGACTCAAACTTGTGTAATTAAAATTTGAGTCTCAGACGTCAATGAAAATGAGACCTCATTGCGTTTCATAACACAGTAGAAGGCAAAACTTCAATAAACCATTGTTTCTGCAACATAACTATTATAATGTAATGATCATTGAATAGTCAGTCAGAAATCAATAAAAAACAAAATCTAAACCACACAGCACTGAGCATGCTTTTTTGTCTGAAAAGAATGTGCTTTGTGTTTTAAAATAAACAGACTTTGCTCTTATCAAATATAAATGCACACTTACACACTAACAGCATTTGCCAAATTGATGTAATATGGTGTAAAGTAATGCAATGAATAGTTCTGTGTTGAAGACTGTAGGTGATAGTAGTCAGATTGTAGGCCCGCACCACCTTGTGGTCACATCAGAATGGCTGCTACTAAAACTGCTGCAGAAAGCTGTTCAGCTCCTCAGTGGCTCTGTTCACTGTTTGCAACGTGCATTCAGTGAAGTCCATTACATGCTTTATTGCCTTAAAAGGTTTCATTTGATGTGCAAAGAGTTTCAACTAGAGACTCTTTCAGCTCCTTCCTGACTTCATATTTTTAATTGTTTACATATTAGCTTCCACCCACATGCAGGACCAGGAGCATATCGACCTACTAATCAACAGTACTGTTACAGAATACAACAAATGGTGCTTGTTTAGCTTTGAAAATGCTTAATTTCCTGATGGAAATGTTATGCCAAAGCAAGACAATTATATTTAAATAACCCCAAATCTATTTTGGCTCAGAGATCTTTGCAATTTGTACAGAAACAACTGCTTTGGAGCCTCAATAAGAAGAAAACAGGAGAAACATCCGAATGAGTTACAGAAGATGATTTGTTGTGTTTTAGTATTCTATAATAAATTAATAACAGACAGAACAGTCATTGTTGGTCATAGACTTTATTAGACTTGTGCATGTTTTAATAACATACTCATTTTCACATAATATAGCTACATTGCATATAACATCAATCTTTTACAATTAATTCAATAATCCACCATGATTTACATTATGCAGTATCTTATTTTTGATTAACAAAAAAAAAAAAACTCTGCTTTTTAAATCTTTGCACTTACATTTATGATGTACGTTTTTAAATCTGGCAGGCATCGACTGACAATCAGTTTCACTCAAATTTGTAAGGATTTCATCTTTTCACAATGATTATACGGTGCATTTTTAGAAAACAACAAAACAAGCTGAAAGAAAGAAAACAATGTACATTCACAGTCAAATATAGCCACCATAAAGAATGTAAACCTTTAAAAACAAAAGAACATATGTGTGAATATCAAAAACATAAATACAAATCTGTATCTTTGCATTGCTGTCAGCTCAGTCTGTCAGCGCCGTGGCAAATGTTATGTCTTAATATAGCCAAGAGGCTTCTGAGTGACAGAGTGACATTTTTCAAAGTTAACCACCCATGCTAAACATAATGGCTCATTTTCACAAATTACACACTCAGTGTAACAATTACTGCTCTTACCGATTCTCTTGACAGTAGGCTGTGCCGTGATAAATCTGACAATTATGCACCGACACTGAGTTACTGTAAATTTTAAAAATGCAGCCCTGAACTACTAATGCATAAACTTACAAAGCCCCACATAAGTGATAGTTCATTGAAGAAAATTTTGCAAATAATTTTTTTAAAAAATGTTTAAAAATCAAAACTTTCAGAGACACACATAATATCAACAAGCATAGATAGCAGCAGGGGAGAAAGGTGACAATCTGCATCGCTCAGAGCTCTGTACAACACATCTATTTGGTTAGACCAGTTACAGAACAACATTCACACATTTATGCACCATTGAGCACAAGGGGTCACTGTGGCTACACAAATAGACCGATAAACACAGGCAGCATGAAGAATCTGCAGGGGAACCAGGACTCCTTTATACTTTTGGCTATTGGGTCTTCTCTATAAAGCATGATATTGCCATACTACATAGACATTCATATCTAATGCACTCCTTCTGGAAGACGTTTTTAGTGCCTTGAAACAGAATCGCTTGGACTTTTCCGAGTTGTGATCAAAGAAAGATTCGTCAGTGCAAAAGGATGGGTGGCAGTAAGTGCTTACTGCAGAGGAGCATCCGACAGTTGACATTCCAATACCTTTACGTAGTTTTCCTTTCGTTATTGTATAGATGAAGCTCAAAAGTGGAACATTCCTTGGCTGAGTATGCTTTGGAGTATGGCCTCTTCTTACGGACTACGAACCCCGTTGAAAGTGGAGAAGAATATATGAGAGCAGAAATTCTGCAGCGACGTACAATACAGACTCCGGGTTGAGGTGAGGTGCAAAATCCCAACGCAATGACCTACTGCTGAAGTCAGCCTGACATAATGTAAAACTTATTGTACATCCACTAGATTCACTAGCTGGTTTTTAAGTCTTTCTCTTCACATTGCATTGAAATCATGGGACTAAGAAATTAAACTTGAAATAATGCCATTTTCCACTAACTGTACCTGAACAGTTGCCAACCCTGTCTATGCTGTATCATCCCACTGGACCACACCTGTCACAGACACAGCAGCACCCCAGAGTGGGAACGATGAGTTGTTGCTTTGTCAAGTGGCAGATGAATAAACCTGAAAATGTAGACTTCATACATCAGTCCATGTCTTTGTATTCAAGTATAATTTTGCAGTATACTCTGTGTGCAAAATGTATTTGAAATAATAAAACATTCTACCTCATTATAACGCATGCTTTTCCTTCATGATTTGTAAACAACCACAATAAGACTGTAATGGAAGACCCTCACCCACACGCAAGTGTCACAATCAATTGGACATCCCTGAGACAGCTCCATTTGATTTGACCTTCTTGTCTGCGTAAGGCATGCTTTCAAAAGGTGGAGAGCTTTTGGGCTTTTGTTCTTGTGCGACGAGAAAATGGGAAGAAACGTGGGAGCAACAAGATACTCACGACACCTACTAGGCTACTTTTACTAACTAATTCAACTACATGTGACGACACAGTTACAAGCGCCAAAGTCAGGGGTTGGAAAATGCAACCATTGCCTCCTGTTGACATGCAGCTAAGACATCACCATGAGCGGTCAACAGCTCGAACAGATCTAGCGTTTGCTAACACTGGACATTCTATGTGTGCAGCCGTTGTGAATAAGGTACTGTACAAAAACTATTAGGAGTGAGGAGATCAGGAAAAGAGGGATGGAGCGTTGTGTTAGTTGTGTTTTTTGCAAAAGGAAACATTTTCGGGAGAGCGTGGGAGGGACTTTTGTCTTAACCTATTAATCTACTTGATGTCAAAGGTTATATTTGTGATGTTAATTTTAGAAAAAGATACTAAAAAGATGGTTCATGTGTGCTACGGTGGTGGATTTTGCCATATGTGGAGGACATGGATTGGGGTGAAACTAATGCACTTCACAAGCCCTTCAGTGCAGAGTTGTTGCTTGCTCTATTTGGTGGCTATAATATTTATTAAGCAGCTCTTTATTATAAATAGAGCTGCTGTTTTCACGATTTAAGTATGATTGCCATATCATTTTGAGATAACTGAAGGCAATAACACTGAGGAGGGGCTTGTTTTTACATAAAACAAAATGTAAGATTCTGCAATCCTCCCTACCCCATTAACTTTCGTACAGTCCCTTAATTTCTATGAACATAAAGACCACAATGACTTCACGGCACCAACATAACAAGTGGCAGAAGTATTGTGTTGTTTTGCGTCATCTCTTTTTTTGTGTGTGTGTATGTGTGCTCATGCATATACGGGCATCTGTGTGGTGTGCACGTGGTTTCAGTAGATGACTTGCTAAAGCTTGAGGCAAAGCAAGGAATGTTTCAGACATCAGTGCCCTACTGTATTCTACTTTTTGTTCATTTTTAAAAGATTTTGACTGTTTAGGCAGTGGGTGTCAAGTGTGTACATTTTCGTATCGGACTCAATGTACGTGAATTGGAGATCCTGTTGGTCCTTGGTCGTTGTGGGGGAAGAAGGGATCTGTCCTTCAGTTTGCCTGTCCATGTTTCTGTCAGTAGGAGGAGGGAAGGGGGAGCTTATGCCGTCTCAGTCTGAGAAGAGACTGGCAAAAGATTTGCGTAGATTGCGTATGGTTTCAGCCTTCACCTCGTCCTGGCTAAGGCTGGCTCGTGGTGTTGGGGTTTCTGGAATGTTGAAGGTATTGGTAAGAGACTGGGACTTGCTATAAAGAGAGGAAAATGGCAATAGAGGAGAAAAGGAGGCTATTAAAGTCATGCAGCAAACCCATGGAATGAAAAGACCCGAGCACGGCAAGACAGAAACAGAGAAAGAGAGAGAGACAGGAGCGACAAGGCTCAGTAAAAGATGATAAAAGCGCATTCCTCATCGACGGTCATTCAGTATTTCCTTATCATTTCAACTTGGCTTTGATATGATATGGATAGTGAATGACTCTTCTGGATGCAAAGGGATGCATGTTTTTTACTGGGATAGATGATTTCAAGACAGCATAATGTAAGATAATTAGATTAATCCAAAATTAGGATTCTGTGATTCCTTTTCACTTGCTCCTCCATTTGTTCATGTATGGACTCAAAGCCACCGATATTAAAACTCTCATGTTCTTAAACTTTGAATGTTTTACAAGTAATGTTAATCATTTAACCTGGAAAACCCTGAAAAATGCTATAAAAATAAAACTATTGTCATTATTTTTTTTGGTATTTTTCTGGGGAGATCATCAGTTGGAAAATCGATCACACAGATTCTCTGCAGTAAAAGCGTCTGACTAAACTTCGAAAGCATTCAGCAAGTACAAAACAAATGTAAATGTACTTGTAAAGCTTTAAGTTTCTAAATCAAAGTAAGTCATAAGTTGTCAGCAGGAAATAATTAATTGGGCAACTATTGTGGTTAATATATTGGTCTAAAATCTTTTATTGTATTAGATATGTTTACTGTATGTTTACCACTTTAAAATATGACAATAATACAGTATAATCTTATTGTTTCGTCATCTATTTCAGCAATTTCTGATTGCAAATTTAAGGCAAATAGAGTGTAAAGAGATATATCAGCTGTAGTTTATTTTCTGTCCATCGGTGCTACTAAGAGAAAACTGACATAAAATGAAGAGAATTTGGTTACCTGTGTCCCAAAACACAGATTGTGACTGAAATCACAGTTTCATTAAGGCTCTGCTTGTTGTTTTTAATGTATCGCAATCTGAAATGTTATGTTTTGTGAAACTGCTGCTGAAATACTAAAAAATGTAAGAATCAATAAACCATGCACATTCAGGTGGATCTTCTGTCAATACAGATTTCCCATGTGGCATGCACATCTTAATGCAGGCATAAAGTAAGAGAGGATCTTCTCTTCACCTCAGCTGTAAGGTTCAATTTATGAAAAATGAGATGAAATTGATCCTTAATCATTTGTCATACACGGATACTTACTTTAGCTGTGGAGAGCCGCCCATGGACGGGCTGTCCTGACTGGGCTTCTGCGGGGGCTGAGGCTTTTGTTGCAGTGGGGGGCGACCTCCCGGACCCCCCTGGCCTTGGGCAGCAGGGCGTGGCTGCTGGGTGGTGGGTGCTCCGGGACGACCCGGCGGGCCACCAGCCTTCTGTTGCTGTGGCCCCCCCTGTGACATCTGCCTAGGGGGCTGAGCAGGCCTCTGTTGTGGCGGAGGTTTCTGGCCTCCTGCACCGGGTTTCTGTTGCTGTGTCACAGACTGTTGCCTCTGAGCTTGAGGGGAACCTCCTTGGCTTCGCTGAGGAGAACCCTGACCAGAAGCAGGTCTCTGGCTTTGAGGAGCACCCTGACCTGCTGGCCGTGGTTGGGCTGCAGGTCCTTGGTTAGGCTTAGCCTGGGTGCTGGAGTCACCAGGCGCAGGGCTGGCCGCAGATTGCTGAGTCTGAGCAGGAGGCTGGCCTTGAGGCTGTGGACGCTGCTGAGATGGTGGGCTTTGCTGAGGACCACCTATGGGAGATAAATAAAAGCAACTGTCACACTAGAATGCTAACACTTGAGTCTCTTGGGTTTAATCTTTACTTAATCATGTCAATCCATTCATCACTCAGATGTTTCTCCTGAGTGTACACTTTTCAAATAAATAAAAAAAACATAAACATTAACAGATATTATCGTTTAACTTAGCTTTTTACTGTGGTAAGGTCCAGTTCTTACCCTGAGGTGAGGGACGCTGCTGACTCTGTGGTACTCTGGGCTGAGAGACAGGCTGAGGAGACACCGCCTTCTACCAAACATACACCAGTTAAGTGGGCAGAAATTAAACATTTATCAAGCATTAAAGGGAAAAAAGTGGCTGAGGATAAAATATAATATTCCCTAAAAGTGTTAAATTATTAACTATTGAAATTGTCTTAATTTGTTTGGAGAAAATGTTCTGCCAAAAGATGATCTAAAAAGCCCAATGTCAAAGAAAATTATATTCAATGCCAACTATGCAGAGAAATCTTCAGAAATCTTCAAAAATTAGCATCATGACTGTGAAAAAAATTGAGGAACATTTTAGGAATACTAATGCTGGCTTTGCAGGATGTTTGGCTCTGTCTGGCTGTTGTAGTCCACTTTCTTTTAGTTATCTGATGTTTCAAATGAAACAACCTGAGAACTCTTCACTATTAAGTCTAGACCAGGGGTCAGCAACCTTAAACACTCAAAGAGCCATTTCGACCTGTTTCCCATGGAAAAGAAAACACGAGGAGCCACAAAAGCTTTTTGACATCTAAAATGAAGATAACACTGCATATACCGTTTTTCACCTTCATGCTATGGATAAAAACTGTAGTGTGTTGCATTTATGAAATCAATGAACTGCTACAGAGAAAATGAAATTTTATTTTTGCATGCAACAAAAACATTTTGAACTCAGAACAAAAAAGACGCTGGTTTGAAGGTTACTTTCAAATAAAATAATCAATGTCTATTCGAGTCCTCCTCGTATTTATGAAATAAAAAGCCGAACTTAAATCATCCACCTGCAGCAAAGTAAAACTGCGGTCTGGTTGTCCTGCTGCCTGCAGCTGTGACTGCTGACCAGACTCCTGGCCGCCTGTGAGCACTTTGGGACGGGGAGGAGCTCACGGCAGCACCACTGTTCGCTGAGGACAGTAACTGCAGAACGATCCAGAAAAGTCTCCAATAACACCAGAAAGAGTCGCTAGATTTGTTGCTCGTGACTTTTGACAAAAAAAAGTCGCCAAGAAGATTTGGATTTGGTCTCCAGATTTAACGAGAAAGTCACAAAGTATGCAACAATGCGCGTGCCGGTGGGTGTTGCAGATTGGTGGTTGTGACGCATATTTTGAGCGACAAAAAAAAAAAACATGTTTTATTTTAATGTTATAAGATCACCATAATCTTCAAATTTAGAATTATATTTTAAAAACTAACAAACTAAAATAAAATAAATTTAAATTAAATGCTCATTATTCATTTTCCAAAGCTACGAGGAGCCGCAGCAGAGGTTTGAAAGAGCCACATGCGGCTACGGAGCCGTGGTTTACCGACCCCTGGTCTAGAGTGTCCAAGGGATGTGTGCTATGACCATTACAATAGCTAGTGTCTGTTCTTTAAATGTGACATAAATCTTAACCTCTATTCTGATTACACCCATTTATAATGTGCACTGTCAAGTATAAACATATTAATTTTTATGTATTCATGCTGTATTTGTATATGTGTACAGATGAGCAGATTTACAATTTACCCATGTGGCCTATACTGGACCCGCACCATGCGTTTAAGTTGGCACTATGCATTGTAGGTTTGTCTTGTTGACAAACAGCAGTGTTGTCTGAATTGTCGCATCATTTCTGTGCAACAAAAATGTGAAAATTTGAGTCCCACAGTGTTAAAGCTGTTTGTTGTCACACATTTATATGTACCCATTTGAATCATTAATTACAAGATTTTTTTGTGACATTTCTTTGGTCTTTACATTGCTTCTTTTCCAGTGTCAGTGCATAGTGCCATCAATTCTTTTAGGTTTGGTAGGAGTACTAATGCTAGAATTATCACTGTATCAAAAAAGCAAACAAATTCTGTACTCACAGTTGAAACCAGAAGTTTGCATATACTGTATAAGAAGACATAAAAACTTTTTTTTCTCACTGTTTCACATAAATCAGACTAAACTTTGCCTGTTTTAGGTCAGTTAAGATTACCAAAATTATTTATATTTGGTAGACGTCAGAATAATGAGAGAGAGATTTTTTTTTATTTTTTTTATTTTTTTACTACTTTCTTCAAAGTCAGAAGTTTACATACACTAAGGTTACTATGTCTTCAAACTATTTGGAAAAGCCCAGATGATGATGTCATGGCTTTGGAAGCTTTGGAAGTGATAGGTTAATTAGCAACATCTGTGTTCATTGGAGGCACACCTGTGGATGTATTTTTAGGCACACTTCAAACACACTGCTTCCTTTTGTGACAACATGGAAAATCTAAAGAAATCAGCCACGATGTCAGGAAGAGAATTGTGGACCTCTGCTAGTCTGGTTCATCTTTGGGTACAATTTCCAGATGCCTGAAGGTTCCATGTTCATCTGTTAAAACAATTATATGTAGGTATAAACACCATGGAAATGTCTAGCCATCATACCGCTCAGGAAGGAGACGGGTTCTGTGTCCCAGAGATGAAGTGTTTTGGTGTGAAAATGTGCTTATCAACCCCAGAACAAAAGTAAAAGACCTTGTGAAGATGCTGCTGGAGCTGGTCAGAGAGAGTCTTTATCCACAGTGAAACCAGTCCTGTACTGACATGGGCTGAAAGGCTACTCAGAGTGGAAGAAGACATTACTCCAAAACCAACATAAAAAAGACAGATTACAGTTTGCAAATGCACACAGGGACAAAGACCTTCATTTTTGGAGACATGTCCTGTGGTCTGATGAAACTAAAATTGAACTGTTTGACCATAATGACCATCGTTACATTTGGAGAAAAAAGGGAGGAAGCTTGCGAGCCTGAGAACACAATCCCAACTGTGAAGTCTGGGGGTGACAGCATCATGTTGTGGGGGTGTTTTGCTGCAGGAGGGACTGGTGCACTTCACTAAATAGATGGCATTATGAGGAAAGAAGATTATGTGGAAATATTGAAGCAACATCTCAAGACATCAGCCAGGAAGTTACAGCTTGGGTATAAATGGGTCTTCCAGATGGATCATGACCGTAAGCACACTGCCAAATTAGTTACAAAGAGACTTCAGGACAGCAAAGTCAATGTTTTGGAGTGGCCATCACAAAGCCCTGATCTCAATCCTGTAGAACATTTGTGGGCAGAGATGAAACGGTGTGTGCAAGCAAGGCAGCCAACAAACCTGACTAAGTTACACCAGTTCTGTCAGGAGGAATGGGCCAGAATTCAATCAAACTATTGTAAGAGGTTTGTGGAAGCAAACCCAAAACATTTGACCCAAGTCATACAGTTTAAAGGCAATGCTACCAAATACTAAGGAAATGTATGTATACTTCTGACTTTGAAGAAAGGAATAAAAAAATTCTCTAAAAAATTCTCTCTGTCATTATTCTGGCATTTAGCAAATAGAAACAATTTTGGTAACACTAACTGACCTAAAACATGAAAAGTTTAGTCTGACAGCGAGAAAAAAAACGAAAAAGGTTACATGTCTTTTTATACAGTGTATGTAAACTTTTGGTTTCATCTGTATTTCACTAACTGCTGACTTGAAGGTAATTGCTTTGGTATTTAAAGTTGTGCTTTTATTGTAATTATCGAAGTTTTTTTGGCAACTGTTCCTGTTGTCACTTTTATGCTTAAATCTCTTCAAGTAAGATGTGCACCTTGAATTAAAAATGACTTGACATATATTACTAAAAAGAAGAGGGGAACATAAAGAAAGGTCAGAATTTATTGGACTACAGTGTGTCTATGGTGTGAGCACCTGTGCTGGCTGTCCTCCGGTGGCACGGACTGTGGAAGAGCTTGAAGTGCGTGGAACAGTCTCGTTCATCTGAGAAATCACTAGTTCTGCAATCTGAACGCGATCCTCGTCCTGCTGGTCTCCAATCAGTGGCATCGAACAGTCATCAACCTAAAACACAACAGTACGATGGAATTAGCGCATTCCCCTTATGATCACAAATATTGATATGATGATGTTCTATTCAAGTACCTCTATTATGTAGTCCTTTCCATCTTTACCATGTAAAGCTTCCACAGCACAGATATCCAACCCTCCGAAGATGTCTGCACAAGAATCCACCCACATTCTGTACCTGCAATCACATTTTAAAAAGAAATGTTGTCGTAAATTGAGACATCATATGATTTACAAATCCATTTCATTGGCAATTATGTGTGCTTACTTGTCTGACATGGCCACCTGCTCAAGCATAGATGAGCCAGTGTTAGTCTTCCAGTTGCCAGAAATTGATGTTCTCCTGTTAATTAACATAAAAAAAAAAAATACTTTCACCATTTTTATCTTACACGACATGCCACTGTGTCGGCTCTTTGGGCAAAGTTTTTTTAATTACATTTGGGAGAGTGAAATTCTGAGAACTGAGGAGAGGTAAATGGTAATTTGACTCACATGTAAGCCTTGTAATTGCTACCAATCTTCTGGATGCGGACATCATACTTTGCATCAATAAAAGGCTCAGATGTGGCATAAGTCTTGGTCAGTGCCACAACACTCGCAATATCTTGAAAATCATACTGATTGTCCACTTTCACCTGGAGTAGCAAAAGTCAAATATAAATATGATGACGTATATTGGTCCCAGAAATATGGCATTCACAGCAGAATGAATAAATACTTAGAGCACTTCAACACTACCTTTCCCATTCCTGAGTGAGCGTGGCCCATCTTTACCACTACGGGGAATCGAGGGGAGGTGATCTGGAACAAGAACAGTATCATGAGCTTCATCATTGTACTGTCATCCATGTGTTCATCCATTTCAATCAAATACAAAGGACACAGAGCTCCTCTCTTTCTACAGAAATTCTGTTTCATATTGGTGACTTCAAAGTCAGCCAGACACTGTCAGCCTGTGACTGCAGGGGTGGAGATAACTGCTCTGCACCAACAGTCTCAGTTTAACTGTACTGACACTGCGTTGGCATCCCAAAACATCAAAAACTCAGCCTCAACCCATACTGAAAAGAAAAAGCCAAGAAGGCACTCTCTGGAAAATTAGAGTGGACTCAGCTGCTACATAAGACTGAATATTGACGTGGAGGTGAATCAGCCTGCTGACATGCGACCTGTGCAGAGGAATGACCTGTCTTTGTGTGTGTCTTTAAGGATTGCTTATCCTGAAGACTTACCCATCAGCACAACTGAAAGAGAAGAGCAGAGCAGAAGGCAAAGAACTCACCATTTCCTTGTGGTTTGGATAGTAAACCTGCTCAATCAGTGGGAACTCCTCTGGGCCCAGCTGCTTGTGAAGTCTAGACATCTGAGCAAACTGAAATACAAACATTTAAGATGCCACTTTAAAGTCTGTGCAGCTAAATTGAATGTGTGCGGCATGTAAATGAACTAATTCATTAATTCCTACTTACCACCCATGGTTTGTCACAGAAATTGTAGACAGAGTGCAAAGAGTTAACACTTGGCACTCCAGCATACTGCAACCCAATCACTATGTTCCGGTGGTCTCCATTCTTATCCATGCTGAAAGCATGCTGTCTGATCAGCACAAAGTCAGGCTTAAACGATCTGGTATGGAGGACATGAGAAAAATATTAAACAAACTGATTAGTTACGATTCACTGCTACGTAGGGTGGAATGGGATTTGAGCAAAACCTCAAATGTGCAGCAGCACTGCAATTATTCGTAACTAGAAACATCCAGCAGAGTACTTACTTAGTAACCTTATGCCCATTCCGGATCGCATCAATGTCCACATTGTAGCTGCCTGTGGCGTTGGCCACCAGGTTGATTTCAGAGAATTCTGCCTGAAAGGACAAAATCAAGGTCAATCCCTAAAGAAAACCAACAAAATCACATGGATCACGATGAGGGCAGGAGAGCATCACCCAAGGTTTCTACATCAGTCAGGTAGAACAGATACAATTACTGTATAACATATCAGGTTTTGTCTGAAGTGTGTTCTTGCCGTTAAGAGGCCACAGTGGAAATAATGGAAATGCCAGTGCAACATAAAGTGGAGAGACTAAAATAGGAAGAGAGGAAGACGCCTGAGGCAGAAGAGAAGATTTTAAAATGTTCGGGGGCTTCTCTGCTCTTAAAGTGCTACACAGTGGATTACACCATGAATAGCCACTAATGAATATTCTTCTCAAAAAAAATTGTCAAAATGTTATTGGTCAGTTATTAGGCTACACAAACAGCTGATTTATCTGTATGAGGGATTACATAAAAGTTTGCATCATCACTAATGAGATATCACCAGAGTGCACTTCAGTGTGAGAATGAATGCAGCAGTTACAGTTCCTGTCAATAATCACTCAATAGTGAACTGGACACCAGGACATTTGTCATTCATAGAGCGTTGTATGAACATTGCCTATACTATCTGTGAAAATAATGCAGCAGTAAAGCTAATCATCTCCTTCTTGCCAATGGCAATGCTTTTATCTACAGAGAAAAATAAACCAGGCACCATGTCTATTTCTGTTTTGGGGCTTTGATATAAATAGATCACAGACAGTGTTATCCATAAGAAAAACAGAAAATACTAAAGTCTGGTGGAAAAAAAATCACATAACATCCCCCCAAATGAAGTTCCCATCAAGGCTCAGTGAAGCTGGCTGGCTTCTTTTAACTCGCCCGGTCTCTGTAGTCTCTGTTTGGCAAGTTTTTTTACCTCCTTGTAGGGAGTAAAGATGAACACTGACTCAGAATAATAGTTACACGTGTAAAACTTACCTGTTCTACCTTGATGTCAAATTCACCGTGGACCTTTCTTCCTCTGAAGACCTTTACCCTGAATGTGAAACAAGGAGTTAAATCCAACTGTTGCTTGTATCCAGAAAACAAATACGAATGTGATTCAGCATTTTTCCCAGTAACTGACAGCTGACTTTTTCTCCAGCACCAGCAGAACATTTTGAAATTGAGAATAATCTTGTTCAGTGAAAACATGTTGACAAAAAACTGGCATCAGTCCTATCCACAGACACAATGCTGCATTCTGTTGTTTCTGCTGGTAATGCACCAGGATAGAGCACTTGTGAACAACAACCCTGTTGTCAGTGTTTCTTAGTGATAATAACAGATTTCTAGGTTTATTATCGCCTAGGGTGTCATTCTGAGGTAAGAGAGCAGCCTTTCATCACCCTTGACTTGTGTGCAAAGCTCTAACAATGATGCATAATGTGCACCAGAGAGGAGGCTTCACTAACCTGGTGAATGCCTTTTCTTTGGTGCAATTTCCCCTCCATGCAGTTAGTCGATTTGAAAATACCTGCATCATCGTGGAGGCATCAGCTCGCCCAAAATCAGTGTAGTGGCATCATTTTAACACATTTTACAGGCAGGATGCAACACGAATTTGTTACAAATAAAAGAGCAGCTCGCCAAAACGAAAATGGCCTCTCTGCCTCCAGACTGTTGCGCCTTTGCCATGGTACTATCAGAGCACATCTGCAAGGTGTTTCTGACCTGAGCAAGACGCCCACGGGCTGTTACACGTGATACCTCTCGGCACCGGATGAATCATATGACCTTCTGGATGTTAGGCCACTGCAACCCACGGGCTGGCACACATTTCTGTCTAGACGAGGCACCGTTGCGCACTGCTCTTACCAGTCGGTCTGCTGGTCGTCGACAACCAGGAGGATCTTGGCGCTGCTGGTGACTCCTGCCCGGTCCGCTGCCTCGGATAAGGTCGCGGCCGCAGCAGCCGTGGTCTGTTTGACAGCATTGGATATGGATGAGAAGAAGCCGGAGCCTCCTCCTCCTCCTCCTCCTCCTCCGCCTACAGGCGGCTGCTGGCTGGTGGACTGGCGCCTCTCCGACGGCCCGGGCGACACTGCGGGGCTCTGCTGCGGCGGGTCGGGGCGTTGGAGGTCGGTCATGTAACCATTGGGTAGGTTGGACATGAAATTGCTGTCCGAGAGTCGTCGACGCAGGTAGTTCATGATGGAGGTTTAGTGAAATAACCGAGGGGGGTCCGAATATCCTTCCACTGAATGCGGCTTACAACTTGCTGTTCAGGTGGGAAAATGAATGACTAGGCTGATTTCCCGCGTGGAGAAACAGGGATCAACGTTACCTAAAGAGAAACAAATCCCGTGTTATTAATTAAAAGGAGATTTAATTACAGAGGTAAGAAATCGTGACTGTGGAGCCTTAAGAATTGCTGTGGTAAAGGAGAGCATCACTCAGCCTCCTGATTCCAGCTGAGCAACAATAACTGGCTCAAATGAAACAGTTCAATGTCACATTTATCCTACAATCCGATGGATGTAGTTAATAAATCCACCTATGAAAGCAGCCACTCTAGCAGTGAAGGCATCATGAAGCCTACCTGGGAGTGTATCCACACTTATCCGCCCCAAGTGGATGATTCCTGATTAGCTCTGATGTCTCACAGGAAAGTCTGCATGCAGGTGACTCTCATGTCCTCTGTGCAGGAAGGCAGGTCGTGCATCGGGCTTGAACCTGTGAAATAAATAAAGCTACAGTCCTTCCTGCATCACCGCCGTCCTTCCCCTCAAGCCCCAGTTTTTTCCGTCTGCCCTGCGTCACTCCCAGTCATCCTGAGGGAGAGGAGCCTGAGAGGCTGGAGCGCAGTCAAGTTACGCAGTGTGGGGGACCGCACTTCCAGGCGCAGCTTTAAAAATAAATGTACGGTTACAAAGGCTGCTGCGAGACGTTTTTTTGTTCTTACTCCTGCAAAATGTACTGCCATCCAAAAAGACAATGCATCCAATTCAATTCATTTTCAATTATGTTGCACCAGTTCCAAACATAGGTCAAATCACTTGCTTACATAATGAGGTTGTGATCCTACAATATTTAATTGAAAATAGAGATAAAAAAATACAAATATTACCTTCAAGCAGCTCTTTGGTGACAGTGAGGAGAATGAAACTCTCTTTTAACAGGAAGAATCCTGCAGCAGAACCGGGCTCAGTTCGCAATCTGCCTCGACTGGTTAGAGCGAGGCTAAGGTTAGAGAGACAAGAATGGCAGAGAGAAATCAGACAAACAACTCATAAGAGCACCATAAAAAATGTAACAGACAACTAAAACCAACACTTTTTATTTTCCATCCATCTACATGCTATTCCTTTCTTTTTTTTTGTCCAGCTGACAAAGGGTGAAATGTAGGGTACACACTGGACATGTACACGCTCACACTCACATCTATGGCCAACTAAGAGTCACCAAGTATCCTACCATACATGTGTTTGGACTGTGGGAGGAAACTGGAGCACCCCAAAACTCATGCAGACATAGGATGAACATACAACCTCCACACAGACAGACACCAGCCGCTCCAAAGATTCAAATCCAGGAATTTCTCCCACATTTTGTTTGAAATATATAATACACAAAAACACAGAAATCTAAGTCTGCTTTGGTAATCAAAGTGCTTTAAAAAAAAAAAGAGAGATATATCATGGTCACTTTACTTTTTTATAACTTTATGTTGTTCTATGAGCAATGTTTCTCCCGGTCATATAAAGCTAAAGCTCGACCAGTGGTTCACTTCTGATCAGTAAGTGTGGAGATTTTAACCAGATCAGGAAGAAACTGGAATATATTTCAATTAACTGTTCAAGGCTATGTCGAGTTAAAATGCCAAACATTTGCTAGATCCACAACAATTGTGAGTTTGCTGATCAATAAATTAAATAGTCCATTGACTGAAAAAAATAAAAAATAAATCAAAGCATTCTATATCACTGCATTATGCAAATGGTTTTCTTTTCTGTCTGAGTTAGAACGTTACAAATTTCTATTGTTAAAGTCAGAAAAAGGTTCAGTTTAGTCATTTGTGCACCAAAAATGTTTGAGGTGTTCATCTGGTGATAAATTCTCAATGGAGTTAATCCACACTCAGGTCAGGTGTGGCTTTTAAGTACACTGATCAGATGGTATTCCCAGCACACAGACACGCCTTTGATCAGTGACTATAGAAGTCCACCTTAAAATGCAGCTTTATTCAAATGACACAGTGCCACAGATGACAAGGGACGGTTGAAAACAAGCTGTTTGCATGCTGGATGGCAGCTAAGGCCAGAGCCAGGCCTATAAATGTCCACAACTCCACCATTTATCACCTTAGAAATAGTTTCATGGTAGGACAGGCAACTTGCCATGTGATGCTCTGGATGGATGTGTCTGACAATGTCAGCAATATCCACCAACTTCACAGAGCTGGTCAGGATGAGCGGGGCAACGTTCCATAAGCAGCATTAACAACCTCATTAACTTGTCACAGATGCGTGGCTCATCACTGACTTGCATTCTCCATCTGCTCATTATTATTTCCAGGATAGCTTGTGTTTGGTTAATGACGTCCGCTCTGTTGTACAGATGACCTGTGTTGGAACAACAAAAGCTTATTTTCGTTGTACAATTTCATAAAATATTACATGCTGTTTTTATATTTTTTGTCATAGCTGTTGTTTTACGAAGTCTAAGAAGCTATTAAAGGAGCTATCATGTCACTTCCTGTGCTGTCCTGGCTGTCTGCGTGTGGCTTGACGCAGCTCTCTGATGGGTTATGAGGGTGGTGCTGATGAGAGCGCGGTGACAGGGGCGTCGCTCTCTGTCAGACACGAGCCTGCTGCTGATCCCACAGGACACACATGGGTGTTGATGACATATGGCGTCCTGCTGCCTCCAATAAAACAGCAGTGGCACACTTACTGTTGGGCTCTCAGGCCGCTGACACCGAGTGTTACTTTTGATTTTCGATACGGATTGTGAGAGATGCGCCATCTGTTGGTGATACCCAGAGCTAATGATCAACACAGACCCCCAGAGAGTCAAAGGCCCCACGATGGAAACTACACTGTAGGTGGTAACCGAGCGGTGCTCATCATGAACACAGACGCTCTGCAGGGTGCGTTTCTTATCTGGACTGAGAACGGCCCGCAGAGATGGTAAACAGCCTATTTATGCTGAAAACAAATGAAACCATGGAGCTGCTATTCATAATAGATGACTTTGTTTCATTTGTTATACTTAATTATAGGATGTTTCAGCTGCATGATCAACCACCTTCTCTGCATGAGTCACTAAGTGTGATTTAAATATGTTTTAATGAGACACTTGTTGATATCTTCTGTTTGATCCAAGCCATGCTTTGTCATTTTTTTTTTATCAGTTTATCATTTATTAATTAGTTTATTGTCAGAATGCTGAACTGCTGATCTAGATATGCAAACACTTGTTTATTTAAATTGCTTTAAGTTATTGGATCCTGAAGAAACACTCTCTCATCTTGCCTGTACTACTGTGTATGTACAGCAAAATGACAATAAACTTGATTTGATTTGATTATTGGTTATAGATCTATTCATTTCTGAACTCATTTGAGTTGCACATATAGACAGTGGAGAAAAGAGCAGAAAAAAAACCCTTTGAAGCAAAGTCAGTGTTTAAAGATTTAGTTAAAGTCCTTGTCGATTTTGTTGTCTTTATTGACTATATGATAAAGGAAAACCACTTCACTCTGTCTTGCAGGGTGCTGATGCCAGTCCTCATTTGACAGAACATATCTGCCTCTGAACTATCCATTTTTAAGAATCCATTCACTACAATAAAATTAATAATAGACTGAATGCTGATACTCATTTCAAGCCTCTCCCTGCTTCACACACAGTGCTTAACACATGTATTAGTCACCACCCAATGTCAGATTTAAGCCACAGTTGCCCTAAATTAACAGCATTAAAAGCAATTAAAAGCATTCTTTATGTTTCTGTAATGGTTAATACACCAGTGAAATAATTATCGTTATACATGAATTTTCAGATTTACTGTTTTACAAAAAACAGAAAAAACAGTGAAGCACATTATTATTATTTTTATTAAGATGTCAAATTATAGTTATTTACTCGCATTCCTGAACAGAAAAAAATAGTTTTAGTGGTTGAATGTTATGCTTGATTCATTTCTAACTTTGGATAGAAAACGGCAAATTCAGTTTGAAATTCCTCAATCCTGTTCAAATGATAAAACGTTGAGAGCTGTGTACACATTAAAGCACATCATATATATATACACAGTGCTTAACAAATTGTATAGGTGGTCTAATAAATTTGTTACACACTGTACATGTTTCACATTGATTTGTGGATGGATCCACACTGTAAGCCTTCTACTGCTATTCATATCATATCACACCACATTTGTAGCTGTTACAGGCAGATTCGAGCACTACCTTCTGTGTACTGAAGCAAAATTAGACTGGAAACAGACATAATAAAAAATACACAGACATTTAAATACATGTTTAAATAACAAACTGGGTTTTTTTTGATTTGCAATGACAGTCATCTCTTATTTAGCTCGAGGAGCAATACAAAAGCCACTAACACAGAAGTGTATCAAGTGGAGAAGCTCCAAACTTCATGAGCAGCAGACATGAGACGATTGTTACGAAACTAGAACTTGACTGACCACTTACAGATTCCGTGCATTTTATAGCAAGATTCTTAGCATTTTTCTTTGCATGGAATTTGTCACAAACATGTTTTTCGAGATTTTTGTAAACACCACTTTTCTGTTTATTTTAAATCTGTAAAGACAATGCAACAATATCGGTTTTGATGCCATGCTATTGCAGCGTATGACTTAAGGGGTCACTGTTGAGCTTACATTAAACCCATTATAATGTTTTTCATCCATGTGTTAACACCAAGACCTTTACATGAGCAGTTTTTTTTAAAACTTTAAATCAAACCTCATCTGTATTTTACATCACTCTATTAAGTCAATATTCACCATCTAGATTCAAATAGCTGATATCAGCCAAAACCAGAGCAGCACAAATGATATTTAAAACAAAAATCTCAATACAATAATTGTGCAAATGCATAATATTTATACTCCTAATGATTTTCTCCTCAGCAGGATAAATGCCACAGTATCTGAATGAGTGACTTCCAAAGACTTAATGTGTGGCCAAACTCCCCAGTATGCTCAGACGAGATTGTTCTCATGGCAGCAGCATTTTCAGGACTTAGGAGTCTTTGTCTGACCATCAACAAAAGCCTTTGGATTACTGGTGAGGCAGGCTCAGAGTACAGCTGCATACGTGTATGGGCAGGTCAGTGGAATGACTGGAGCCTCGGTGGGCTAAGCGCTCAGAAAAATGCAGTTTGGTGAGATTGCAGATTAGGAGGGAGGGAGGGAGGTGGGACAGGTGCTGAGTCCACGGAGGGAAACAAAAGACACACTTCACCCACAGGCAACACTCTGGGAGAAATTTAAAAAGCTGTGTGAAAAAAGTGATTCATAGCTAAAGATGTTATGCTTTGGGCTTTTTCAAAATTCTCTACAGAAGAAAGTGTTGAATAAATTAAAAAAAAAAAAAAGACTTCTCTATTGTGCAGCACTGTGACATTTAACAACTTCACTTTCTACTTTGGAGACAGGCCTACCTGTGAGTCCATTCCGCCTACAACACAATAACAACACTGAGCGAACGATGGCTTTCCATTGGTCCAGGCGGCAGCCAATCTGGATGCAGGGAATGAGTCACAGGGAAGCTACTGTGCCTATCTGCACTCACCTGATACTTTACCTGACTGAGCTCAGACCCAGCATCTCATTACCGTTCCAATACAATCTATAACTGAGGTTCATTGTGTCCTGTAAACTCCAGCAGTCAAGGTGTTCCTCTGTATTTGGCTCCACTCAGACAAAGACAGGAAGACATGGCTGTGGCTAATTTCCAGTACATTACTCGGATGAGCAGCGGCTTCAAGGTCTACATTTTAGAAGGTAAGCTTGGCTTTTTGCTTTGCTTTTATCTTGTATTGCTTGATGCCAGTGAATACTTGTGTTATCTTTAAATCTCTGACACTGTTATGCTAAAACATTTTCGTGATATGGATCTAAATGTGTTGCTCCTGTATTATGTCAAACTTTATATGTTATCTGTGTTCAACATAGAGGTAATTACCTTTGTTGTGTCCATGATATATATGTAAATCCTGTATCAGACAGAAAGAAGCTGAAATGATGACTATCAGATGGAAGATAAACACCAAGAACCTTTAAAGAAAACTTGTGAAATGTTTTTTGCATAAATAGATTTCAGACAGAAAAGCTTCTTCCATAAAGAATGAAGGGCTCTCTGAAAAATGAGGCTCTTTCAAGGTTCTCAAGCTTCAACAAAAACTCAATAAACTATGTATTTATGTTGGATGTCTATAAAATCTTATTAAATTCAGCAAGCCAGAAGGTCAGGCAGCATTTTCCCTCTGATAATAAGGAAGAAATATCCATGCCTGAGGCATTAGAAAATCAGCATAGGTGTGGTTATACCTGCCCCCCTCCACAATAGCACTCCGTGTGAAGGAGTAGCTCACAGGTGTTGGAGTGTTTAGGCACTAGGAAATGTGAACTGCAGTGACTATTTTGGGTGTGAAGAGACTGAACATTTGCTTTTTAGGATGCAAAACAGATATTTAACTATTGCTTCCAATCACTAAGGCAGAGCAGACTTTATTGTTTCTGAAGTGAATGCTTGATTTGAATACAGTTGAATACTCCTGCCGTTCCATCAATGTGGATTCCAAGTGTGAACTGAGCATACAGTCAAACAATGGGTCACAGTGCAATTATGCTGCCGTTCCATTTTCAAACAGTGCTGCTGTTTTGACACATGAGCTGGTGGATGTGACTGCAGATTGATCTGGTGAAACATTCTTCATGTGGCTTCAATTAAAATGCAGTCACCTGGATTAATAAAAACACTTGACATCCAGATCAGCATGTGAGTTTAACTTTGCAGACTGCATTGTACTCAGCACTCCTCCTATTCACCACAGCAGTGACATCAGCTTGTTGATGTGTTTCAACTTGTGTAATTGCAGAAATCCAGCGTACGTGCGTGTGTGTGTGTGTGTATTCACCTTGATGTCTTTTTCATAAATGGGTGCCGCCCAAATCAGGGTCATCAAACTCCAGGATGCGTTTGATGCTTGGGACCCCATCCTGACAAAAAAAATTGTTGATTGCGTCCTTCTGAGCGTGTGATCAGGCTGAATGCCAACATTAGGCAGAAAAACAACATTTACCGTTAGCATTGAATCAGCTGTGTAGTGTTGTAACCCTCACTGATCAGGTCGATCGAGTTCTACCGCTTAACGGAGTTTACGATTAACGGTGGCAACAGAAAAAAAAAAAAAAAAGTTTTCCCACGAATAGCAGTCATGCAGGTTGATGTCACGGATCAAAACAAGCAGTTACTCATCACTGAGGGCCACACACCATTGTCACTTTAGCAAAATCATCACTGCCAGTAGCAAATGAATCATAGGGAAAAATATGGTATTACCGTATATGACATAGAATTAGTGACTAATCTAATTCTGCTTTGTAACTTTCTCTCATAGGTCAACCCCATTTCAGAAGCGAGGACAGATACAGACACATGACAAATGACCGGGCTCGAGCCCCTGCAGTGTATCCAATCAAGCGTAAACGCAGCCATGAGAGAGGGCTAACTTTGGAGGAAAGGTTGGTCGAAATGATTTATTCATGTTGCCATCAAACTCTGTGTTAAAACATGACAAATTAAATGCAAATTCTGTCAAACAGACGTGACATTTTCCTGTGTCTTTCTGTTCCAGGCGAGAGCGGGCGATGAGCAGAAGCAATGCCCAGAAAGTAGCTCAGAGAGCAGCAGCAGCAGCAGGAGCACCACCAGTAATGTTCAGCAACCGACAGAGTCCAACATCCAGCCACAGTCCGGTGCCCAGCCCCACTAGCCCTCTGCCCACCCATGTGTACTACACGCCAGTCATGGACGAACCCCTCGCCCTCATCAAGAAACCGAGAAAAGACCCCGAAAACTCAGTGGAAAAGACTCAAAGCCCTGCTACCAGTCAAATCCAGGTAATTAAGCGGAGCCAAACAAGTGCTGCTCGTGTCTTCAACAAGCTGATTTCATGAAAGATTAAGGGTGTTAAGGAGCACATAACTTAGGAAACGTGGCAGTACTGTATGTCCCTTTGTAGTCTCAGCGTAGCTCCAGGCTACCCACAGCGGTGGTACATCTACCATCTGTAGTCAGTGAATCCAACTGCACAGGCATTCGACTTCCAAGAGTGCATGCAGGCCTAAGCTTGCCTGAGCTATGCAATCCAGCAGGATTCAGGAAGAAAATGTGAGCAATGGAGGGAGGAATGCCATCAACAAGACCAAACAGACTGCTTTCTCTTTGACCTGTTTATGCCACCACACTGGGAGTGATCTGACTTTCATGGGCAAACCCAACCAGTTTAATCAGTTTTCAAATCATTTTGTTTTCACATTAAAGTCGGTACAGTCTCATTGTTCAGCTGGATAGAGTGCACAGTCAGGTTGCACTGGAATACACGTTTAGGGGATTAAATAGATAACATAAAGTACAGTGACTGTTGAAGTACAGATTACTGTCTTTTGTGCCTTTAATCTAACTAATGACTTGTTTCTTTTTCGTTTTCCAGATGCGTCCCTCTGTGATCACCCGTGTCTCCTCATCGAGAAGCCCCTCCTGCAAATCTGAGGTCCACAGAAGCCCCTCATCAGGTCAGTCTCACGCTCTTGTGAATGCGCTCACTCGCCAGACGGTCACTCCCTAGCCGTCACACATGCATCATAGTGAATCCAACCACACACTTTTACTGACTCACTGAGGTGTGTATTTGATGTTTGTCATCCATCCTTTCTCTTCCAGTGGTTTCCAAATGCAACTACGATCACGTCCTCGAAGAGCACTTCCAGAGGAGCCTCGGAGTGAACTACCAGAAAGCTCGCAACCAGCAGCTCTCCATCAGCGTCTCTGTCGACGACCACTTTGCCAAGGCTTTGGGAGACAAGTGGCTGCAGATTAAGTCCAAATCTTCCTCCTGTTCCTCCACACCTCCCAGCAGCCCGAGCGTTACTCACTCCCCAACCTACAGCCACAGCCCCAATCAGTGCCACAAAGAGTCTACCAGCAGCTCATCGCCGAATTCCAGCCACTGGCCTGTCAACTAAAGCAGAAACAACCTCTGATTCTGGTGGAAGCTGGACTTTGTGACGTGTAACATTTCAGTGCAAACAGCTCTGCTTGTCCATGCAATGGAAATGTCAGCAGTAGTGTCGAGAGAGCGAGCTTGCAGACGCAGGAGTGCTGTCACTTTGGACCTCCGTGTGTCCAGACGTAATACGCAAAGATGCAGACAAATGTAGCATTAATTGGGACACCTTTGTTTTGTTACATTTCTATCTTCTGCTTGTTGATAGCATCTGAATATCTGAGATACTGTAGATGGTGATGAGGGATGATTGAAAAATCAGCCAAGTATTCCTTCACATTTCTGTTATTTTGTGTCATTCTTATATTGGAATGCCACAATTTTATTGTATTATATTTATATTCTGATATGCCTGGGATACGCCTTATAGTCTAAATGACTAGCCTATCTGCTGTATAATATTATGCTTACCAGCTGTACAACAAAACAGACTTTTGAAAAAACTTTGAAAGAATAAAAATCTCACAAATTCTTTTAAATTTTTTGTGTGCATGTTATTTGTACAAGCATGTATATATTGTGCTATCTTTTTTAAAAAGAAAGAAAAAAACACAGGGGACAACTAAAGAGCAAAGAAAAAATTCGTTATTGAAAACTAAGCTAAGCATGCCACAAAATAAGCAAAACTTGTTTCAAACTGGAAGGTCGTGACCATGGACAGCTTGTAAAAACTGGGCAGGGTGCTGTACCAGACAGCCTAATTTCAGCTGTGAGTCAGTGCACGTCTACAGCGCATCCGGCACACACACACATGGCATTTTACTCTCAGGGCTGTTGCCACACAGTGAGCGTAATTTAAACAGAAGCATGAACGACTCATTCTGGACATTTTCCTGTAAGTTACAGAGAATGCAGGGAGCATGTCCCAGCAGGCACGAAGCTTGTGTTCTAACATTCCTGTCTCCTGAGAAAATGACTCTGTAAGATCCTACAGATCCTGTTTGGCAAGGGATAGGAGGGAGGGAAGAGGGGAAGGAAGGGTTGGGCTAACATAAGCCTGAGCATGAGAACCAGCCATGCTCTTCAGTTACTTATTTGCATGTTCTATCTTGTCTAATTTTAAAAAATGATAGGCAACATCAAAAAAAAAAAAAAAAGAAACCTTAAAATTACAGAGTTGAGCAATTTTACAGAACGTTAAACTTGAATGTTCTGACAAGTTAAACATTTTTAAAGAGGGGAATGGAAATCAGGGATCAGAAAGAAAGTGAATTAAATATATTCTTACATTAAAACGATCAAGGATAACTACAAAACAAGTTAGAGCTAATCACATTAAGGATTTGAGTTCAAACATTTGCACACAACGTCTTCAATTCCACCGAGCAGTAACATTATGTTTACACTAAACACATTGTGCAGCCAGTCCAAACACACAGGAGCAAATAGTGACCAAACTGCTGATTATTACTTTTGCTCATTAAGTCCCAAACTGGTATTTCGACATGGAGCATCAGTCAGTGTAACCTGAACAGGGGCATTGATGCCACCTAGAGGCCTTGAGGTAAATCCCAAACAGACGACATTGTCCATGACAAATGGTCTCATGTTGCACGATGAACAGCACAAGCTGCTTAAAACACAGCTCTGCGGGTGAACTTGCTGTCGAATGAGAGCTCTGGTTTGACAGAGAGACCTTCAGAAATTAAAAGGAGAGAGGAGAAATGCTTTGCTCAGGTTACCACTAGGAGGCGACTGCACATTCATCTGCATTCATAGACTTTCATGTGTGCTGTGTTTTTCATTAAAAATGCCAAGTTTATGTGTGGCAACGCTAAACAATATAATGCATGATATACTTCTAGTGCACCAGATGACAGAATTTAGCCTAAAGTTTTGGGTACGCAGAAATACATAAATCTCATCTCACCACAACAACAACTTCAATGAAATCTGCTCGCTGACTGGTCGCTGTTGTTCTGGACAACTGAATAGAAAATGATTGATAGTTCCAATTATGTAGATCAACTTGCCATGAGAATTTCAAGAGAAAAACTTCTCATGCTGTTGCAAAACAAATGCACATTGTTGTGTGAGGCAAACAATGAGGGATAATTACAATCCTTGAATACCTCCAACATGACAGAAAACAACATTTAAAGTCATAGCAATAATAATTACGTGCGCTTCACAATACAGAAGCCTTCTGGGAAAGTTCTTGGACTTTCTCTGGTCTTTCAAACGTTAGATCACTATCAACAAATCAAGAACCATTCTGCAAATAATTGAAATTATAGCTCTAATCCCATGAGAACAAGATTGCATGGAATGAATGGATGAATCTGTGGTGGTGCTGTGTGTGATTCATTTTTCAAGCTTCTTGTTCAAACTCTTTAAAAGATCAAAGATAGTCATCCGGGATAATTGCTGAAATAATGATTATTCCGGTTCAGACGCCTGGGTGTTCGCAATCTTAACTGGCAGCCTCCTTTAACCTGCTGTAGCAGCCAAATGTGATGTGAAACAAGCTCTTTATTGCAGCTTAATGCTTCTTCCCAGTTGTTGTGGAACTGCTGTTTACAGAGTTTCGTTACATGTAACTTAAACTTTAATGTTTTAATGGGATACAAACCCTGACAAACATTGCTAACAGGCGATTTCAGTTTTGTGCTGGTAAAGTGATGTAACAGAACATCAAAGTTATTATTTCAGGATTGTGGCGCTCAAAAAAAATGCTTTAAAGTGCAGAAAAGCCTGCAAATTAAAAAATAACCTTTGCCCCCTTCTTTTAGAACATGGACATAAGAAGGATAGACATGGAATAATTTACACTGATATTGCAAGAATTAGTCTCATTATCGTAATACATGAAGGGCATCATTTACACATTATTGTAGATACAGCAGCTAAACAAACTGCCAGACAAAGACGCTGCATCATCCAAAGGGGGGTGGATAGTTTACATTCATCCATAATGTTATTAGCTGAAGGCAGTTGTTACATTTTGCTCAGATTTATTCCATTTAGTAATGTGTGATGCTTGTACAGACACGTGTGAATAGGTTAGCAAATGCATTGTGCAGCTGGTTAATGAGCTATAGAGTGCATGACTGGTATGGCTACATATAAACGGACGCACAGCAACGAATCTATGAGCTTTATGCAGATCCACATGGACCACTTGTTTCCTAAAATCAGATATAGTACATGTATTTGCACTGACTGCATCTGCCATCTTCACATTTCTTCTCAGTCTCAGTCAGGACTTGCGACATGTTTCAGAGAGGCCAAAATATTCCACACAGCTGGCACTCCTGTGTACACGTCATAGATTTGAACTACATCACCCAACAAGCACTAAATAAATAAGTAATGAAGAGGAACTTATCAGCAGATTTGGAGGCACTGTAGCATTTCGGAACAGAATCAGTTCTGCTGACTTTGAAGATAGTCTGACACTCCCCTGGAGTTTCTCAGTAAATGGAAAGTAACAGGTTGATTAGTAACTCAGCTTGTGATTGTTGCTTCACATTCTGCTCAGCTACACTGGCTGTACACAATATAGAAGATTTTTCTAAACTTTACTCCAGGGTGGTGGGAACTCTTTAAAGACCCCCTTCAGTCAAAATCAAGTTTGTTTGTTTTTAACCTTGTTAACCATGTGGTGTTTTTTATATGCTGCAAGACACATCATCATGAGGGAAATATACAGTCAGCACCATGGCTGAGCATTTCCACTTTGAAGCTGCAGTGCACCAATAGAAGCTTCAAAAACATGACTTTAGACTTCCAGGGTTTAATACGTAACAAATTTAAGAAACTAATCCTGCTAACTAGCAGGATGTGGGTTTCCAGATTATTACACTGGTATACACCCATTTTGGTGTCAAAGTTTTTTCAGCTGACTTTGGACAGTTGCAATGTGCTGAATCTAAATATCACATTGGTTTTGCTCAATGAGGTCAAACTTTTGATTTGATGAAACATGCAATTTACTTGTATTTACCTTTACAAATGTTTACGCTCATCAACTTGTGCATCATTTAGCTTATGAAAAGGATTAGAAAATGATTTTTTTCCTCTAAAATCCAATTTCATAAGAGAAATACAAAAATAAATCAATCGCTAATGTCAAAATATATAATCGATCTAGTGGTTAAAATCGAGTTGGCATAGAAACCTGACCTGATGTAGAAAAGCAGATGTCATTTTTGGATTCAGCGTTGCAAAAATGTCCTAAATCAGTTTTAAAAAATCCTAGACACTTTCAAAAAAAGTATTTTTTTTGTAACCCAGTGTTATTGTTTGTCAGAATCAGGCTACGAGTCGAACATGTACGGCTGAATTACTTTAAGATGACAAGTTGCTGTTGTGTAGTGCAGAGTATTTTATCAGTGTTTGAGCAGAACCGTGGTGAACTTAAGAAAAAGAAGCAGTGTAGAGTTACATCCAAGCCATTTCAAGGCATCAGTGGATTATTTTAATGAAATAAATTTTAAATATGTAACTCTGATACACAAAGATGAGTTTTTAGGGGTTAAAATAATGACAGAATAGGGTCCTTAGTGTGAACACAATGTGGCTGATATTACCAGTAGCTTTTATCGTGTGTGCACAGATCAGAGCTCTGTGGAAAAAGTAATCTTGAGGTACTATCACAAATGGTGGACTAGTATGAGACTTATAAACAAGGACTGAGTGTGGGCTACTGTGTGTTCCTGTCACCTGCTATGCTTCAATGCAACCTTAACATGGCCAATATCTGCAACTGTTTGCTTCACATGTGCTTACGTATTCTGCAATACAGCTGGATCCCAATCAAACTGTTCTCATTTACATCCCTTGTCTGGTTCTGTCGGCAGATAACGGGACAAGTTTAAAATGCTGCTGAAATGTAGCTCATTATGTTAGCCAGCAGTCACTTCAGAAATTTCCAAGCTGCTGCTCTGCATCACTCCAATACAGATTTCATTACCACAACATTTTCTGACAAACTCACTATACAAATGAGTTAAATGCTACGACTGTGCTGTGAATTGTGTCATATACCCATGTAAAGTGATTTCTCAGAGAGAAACTTACAAGCTACAGAATGCCATGATGTCAACTGCTCTGCTCCATGCCATCAGTCAGGTGCTCTGAGTCTTCTTCCTGAAAGGGGCGTGGCCAGCAGCAGGTGAGCTGCATTTAAAGCTACAGGTACTGTTTAGAAGCCAGTGGTTATACAGGCAGAGTAAAGGGAATCATCTTTGCAGTATTTTGAGCTGAAAAAGGGAAAGACATTCTAGAAACATTCAAGATTTTTTAAAATTTTCAAAAAATTAGTACAGTATGGGGCCTTTATCACTAACTTCCTTCAATCTAAAGAGACACTGACAAAGATTGAAATGGAAAAAATCCAAGTCCATACTTATGCTAATGATCTCAAGCAGTATTGTGTGTTACACACTTAAATACAAAGCTAGTGGATGGATGTCAAATGTTATACTCTTATGACCTTGGTGAAGATAATATTTTAATATTTGACCAGCAGGTGGCACCAGAATAAAGGCCATGCTGTTCTTAGAGCCTCTCTATGATTTTTGAGCACTTCAATGTCACTCTGTATGTAGTATCCAGGAATATATGGCGAATACTTCACTGATTACATAAAAATAACAAAAACTGGTTACTATAAACACACTGCGACCTGAAATATGTCTCTTCCTCTTCTTGACTGCTAAACTCGAGGAAGATATATTTAGGCAAAAACAATGGGTATTTCTGTTTCTTCACGGTAGGTGGGGAAAACCCAATTTGAGGATAAAGCAAAGCAACATAATGAGCAGACAACTGTAATTTTTTCCACCCTGTCAACAAACAAGCTAAACATTAGCGTCTGTGCAGCTTCTGTCTCATGACCGGACTTTAAAGGCGTGTTCAGCTCACTCGGCTCGCTATATAAACCAAACCTCCAACAGGAGCCTCCAAAACCCTGCAGGCCGCTGCTCTGTAGTCCTCTTGACATCCTCTGAATGAACGTGGTGAAGCTGCTCCAAGCTGACAGCAGGACGCACCGCAGGACGCACCGCAGGGCGCACGGCACTCCAGGACGCAGTGGACAACTCTGATCTCACCTGTAAGTCTCACTTATTGGACTCTCTTTTCTCATTTTTAGTTTTTATTTTTTCATCTCATTTAGTATTCTTCACTGTATTGTAGTTTTGAATTATGTAAGAGCAACACAAGGAGATTAACATACCTCTATTTTCCATACTGATGGTGTTCTAAACGACTGACTGCCGGCAGCCCTGAATAGGCCAATTATTCGCAGCTTTAAAGACTCTTTTTGAAGTTTTAAGTGGATTTATTTGTGATTTTACCACGTAGCTGGAATTTTAGAGGCTACTATAATTGCGCAACACCCTCTGTGCACCTGCTAATGTTTGTGTGGAAAAACTGTACTTTCTTAGTAAAATAACTAGATTTCATGGCATGGATCGATTTTACTTAAATGTTGTCCATAATCCTATTATAACACCCCAGGTGGTTAAACAGACTTAAAGAAGTCAGTAAAGTCACTAAAAATGAACTTGAAGCAATTTCCAACATTAGTTCCTTTAAAAATTGTGAACATAACGATTAAATTAATCTGATTGACCTTTGAAATACAACTGTGCATTTTAAAGTAGGTGATATATGCTCCTGTGGCAATGAAACACACACATTCCATCATTATTTAAGACATTAAGAAGTTTTTTCCTGTTCGTCATGAAAATAGTTTCATAAATCTCTCAAACAAAGTGTGCTATAACCTAAATTGTATTCATGACCTGAACTCAACCTCCTGCTCACACAGATACACTGCACACTAATGGTATTGTCCAGCAATTTTTATGCCAAACTTTTGCTTTTCACACCAGCGTGTTTATGTAACTGATATGAAACACTTCCCTCTGCTGCCATGGCTCTGTAAATCATGCATGCCGAACAAAATGATTCATGCTGTTCGGTCGTTTCAGGTAGTTTGAGCTTGTTAATGTGTAACTCAGCTTAGCCTTTGTTTATGATGCAGTAAATAAGGAGTATTATCCACTAACTCGTGTGTGTTTTCGCAGTGTGTATCATCAGAGGATTGCTGCCATGATGGACGTCCCTCCATTCGTCATAGTCTGTCAGTTTATGATGAAGCCGACAAACAAACCCTGCATACCCAGCTAGCAATAAGTCTTTTTTTTTTTTTTTCTAAAGCTGAACTAAAGGGTTCTTTTATCATTTTAGTGATAGAGATTTATTTATAAACACACATTACCTCATAAGTCACCATCAACAATACATTGGCTGCTTTGGTTAAATACTATTTTAAGCAGTGATGGATACAACTACACTAGCAACCCTGGCCACGGCCACCACGGTGGCTCTGGCCTCTCAGTCGGACATGTCAGGATACTTGTGGCTGCTGGTGCTCGGCTTCGTCATCGCCTTCGTCCTGGCTTTCTCTGTGGGAGCCAACGATGTGGCCAACTCCTTCGGCACAGCGGTGGGCTCCGGGGTGGTCACTTTGCGGCAGGCCTGTATCCTGGCTACCATCTTTGAGACGGTGGGTTCAGTGCTGCTGGGGGCCAAAGTCAGCGAGACCATCCGGCAGGGGATCATCGATGTCCGGATGTACAACGGATCAGAACACGTACTGATGGCAGGATCGATAAGTGCAATGTGTGGTAAGCGGTCACACAGAAATGACCTTGTATTGTTCTTTAAGTGAGGAGGATAGCTTTGCACTGGAAGCTCAGACTTAGCTCATGTTTTCAGGCTCTGCTGTGTGGCAGCTGGCTGCATCATTCCTGAAGCTCCCCATTTCTGGAACCCACTGTATTGTTGGAGCTACAATTGGTTACTCCATGGTGGCCAGAGGTCACCAAGGGGTCAAATGGATGGAACTGCTCCGCATTGGTGACTATATCTTGTTTTTCTTCACATTCGAATACAAGTATCTGTTCAATTTGAAGCATAAATGTAGATAGAAGCCCATTAATCAATTTAGCTTCTAATGTCTGTCCATAGTGGCATCATGGTTCCTGTCACCTGTCCTGTCTGGTATCATGTCAGGAATTCTCTTCTACTTTGTCCGCAGATTCATTCTGAACAAGGTAAGCACATTCTTCCTAGTGTGTACGGTTAATAAGTAATTTAAAAACAGCAGCAATGGAAAAAAGTCTTCAGATCAGTATCACATTCTAAAAATACTCATTTACAAATAAAGGTGCTGCATTCAAAAGGATTTTTAAGTAAAAGCACAGATATGTTATCAGCAAAACCTACTTATCAAACATATCAGAAGAAAAAGTACTTGTTCTGGCTCCTGTTACTGGTGTATTATTATACATTGTATTAATTAAAGTTTAGTGCTTTGGCATATTTCACATCTGGGGCCAACTTCTCTAAACGGTCATAAAATAAATCTGATGAGTCATAAGATGATTAATGGGAGAGTAAATGAGAAAAAAAGGTCTGATTTACAAATGATTTATTTAGATTAATTTTGAATGTAACTTTATTATGAATTATAATAAAGTTTGACCTGTGTGATTTGGCTTTTAAACAATTATTTAAATGAAACCATTAAAGAACTGTAAACCTAAATGTTGTCTTTGTTGGAACTGGTAAAAGACATTACAAGATGACAAGGAGCCCCAATTAAACGCTGCTTTTTATAACTGATGATATAGTTGGGAACCACTGGTTTGGTTCCTAATAAGGGACTATGTATTATGAGATTTTTTCATAAGCTTTTAAAAAATGTTATGTTCTTAAAATCTGATTACGTAAATGAATTCTTACCTCCAGCTGTTAATTAGATAAAAGAAAAACAAAAGGATAAAGGGCGCACAGTATAAGTACAGCACCTCAAAATTGTGCCTAAAGGTGTTATTTCACATTTGGGTGAATACTCTTGTTTTCTTGGCGAGACTCAGATGAGAGAACTGCATGCTGAGCACAAAGCGAGCACCAGCAGCCAGCAGACACACATAAATACTCATAAAAGTGGAAAACAAATTGCCTATTGCATATTTACTGCTACAATCTCCCCAGCTATCTCTGAATTAGAAAGTGAATAAGGCTTAAAGTGTAACGTTTTTTTAGAAGTTATGTTTCATGTATGGAATCCCCAGGAGGTTTAACAATTGACCCAGACCAGTCTATTTCCGCAGGCGAACCCTGTACCCAACGGCCTGAGAGCTCTCCCTGTCTTCTACGGCATCACTATGGGCATCAACCTCTTCTCCATCATGTTTACAGGAGCACCACGTGAGTATCACATCCAGACACCACACCTGTACAACATGTGACTGTTGCTTCGTGCACTGCGCTACCACAGCAGCTGTTGAAATCCCTGGAGCAAGATGAGATGAGTAAATGTCACACGATGAACACAGGAGAGTTGATGACAGGCTTCTTAGGACAAAAGTAGGTGACAAATAACGAGGAGGCTATTTTGTACATATGTAAATGCAGTTCATTCGCAGCCACTTTTTTTTTTGTCCCTCGAATTTCTGTCACTCTATATGAAAAACTAAAGGGTTCAAAACTAGGTAATAAAGAGAATTAAGAATAAACACAATAAGAATAAAATAGCTGAGTAAGAATCTAAGTAAGATACAGCTAATAAATGGAACATTTCCATTCCTTTTTGTTTTGTTTGCAGGATTGATCTTATCAAGAAGTCTACTGGCCTGGGCCCTTCACTGAAGGCTGCAGGCCGGTGTGTGTGTCTCAAGGAATTGAACACACCATTACTCCTGCTATGCAAAATTACACCGTAATGCAGCCGAGTGCACTTCTCACACTGATACTACATGCATGTTCTAGCCCCTACATTATATTTACCAAGTCACAGAAAACCATTAGTTTGTGTTATTTTGTTCATTTATAAAAACATAATTTTCTGCCTACACACCTGAGCAGTTATTACCGTTAACACTGCTTGAGTCAGTTCATGTGAATGCTAGCGATGCATTACAGCCACATATTTACTGTGTGGCTGTTTATACGTTGTTAAGCTGCTGTTGCCTTCAACAAAAGCAGGTAAGTTGTGTCATCAATGGGGGATTAAATGTTGCCATGCTAACCTACATTAACTCCAGCAGTAAAAGACAAATATCAGCAGCAGTTTAGCCATTCAGCTTCAACGAGAGAGGACACGTGAAATTCCTAGAAGTGTCCCTAACTAACTGCAGCATTTTATCACTGTGCTGCAAGACGGCTCTCTTTCACACTATCTGATTGGATGAGTGTATCCTCCCACTGATACTCTTCTCTGTAAGAACAGAAATGTTGGAGCACTTGACACGTCTTGTACAGTCTTTAACAAATCACATGACCACAACTGACAAAACAAGACAAGATGGGGTGTTGGGAAAATGACTTTTCTTTCTTGGATACACATAATACTTTAACAGTTGAGCTCCTAAAATAATGTTTTTAAAAAAGGCCAAAGTGTGCAGGAATGTAAAAATTTTTTCTCACTGTTTTTAAAGGAGCAGTACCAGTTGTGGCTGAATGAAAGACACGGTTAAGTTTCTGTTTCTCCTGATGTCCCTGTCTTGTGTGCACAGTGCTGGGTTTTGACAAAGTGCCATGGTGGGGTACGCTGTGCATTGCTCTGGGCTGTGCCTTGGTCACAGCTTTGCTCGTTTGGTTTGTCGTCTGTCCACGACTCAAGAAGAAAATCAAACGTGAGTAAATCAGTCACTTTCAGACTTAAAGTTACAAGTATGAGGACCAACTGTATGCATATTGGTCAGGACTCAAAAACAATTATGGATAAAACTACATAAAATTCTTTAGTTGCACACATTAGCATGTGCTGTACTTGAGTACAGTTTTGAGATACTTGAGGGTTTCTATTTCCTTTTACATTGTTTTATCACTCCATACTTCTATACTGCTGCAATGTGGAAGAAAAATAATGTTTACTTCACTGCAATGATTTTATAACTTTAGTTACCAGTTAGTAGACTTTGAAGACTCAGATAAATAATACAAAATAAATCTGAAAAATACACTACATTATAGATAGATTTAGATAAGATTTTACTGATTTACTACCTGGCACTATAAAGTCAATAAATTAGTCCCAACATTACCAGTCGTAACATTAAGTGACATAAACAATAATTCATTGATACTTGTACCAGATTATTGGTATCACTTCTTTAACTTTAGTTAAGAATCTGAGTCTTTCTTCTTTCCCCTCTGACTTTAATGGACTTCAGGAGAAATAGCTCCTGCTCCCTGTGAAACTCCACTGATGGAGAAGAACCACAGTGAAGCTGCAGTAGCAGAGCAGCCCTCGTTACCTGAACCCCAGACGCCTCCAGCAGACAGTCAGAAGGTGGCTTTCAAACTTGGAGGCTCAGAGGAGGCTGACCTAGACAACAGTGACATAGAAACCAAAGACCTGGATATCCTCAACGGTGAGAAAATATAGGCATGATCTACGAATGTAGATCTCTGAATGTTTGACCTCAGTGCTTATATTGGTGAAGATGTTCTATATCTGACTAGATTCAACATCTGAATGACAGAACATGATTGAATATTGCAGGTCTGAACGGCACCGTTGGCCCCATGGTGATCACTGATCCTCACAGTGGACGCTCCCACACGATCCACAAAGACTCTGGCCTTTACAAAGACCTGCTGCACAAGCTTCACATGGCCAAGGTTGGCGACTGTATCGGTGACAGTGACACAGAAGAGCGGCCGATCCGCAGGAACAACAGCTACACCTCCTACACCATGGCTATTTATGGAATCCAAGGAGATCCTAAATACAAAGAGGTGGACGGCGGGCTGCAGAGGAGATCCAGGGTGGACAGTTACAGCAGCTACAGTTCGGCAGTGACCAGCGGGAGTGCAGCCCAAGACGGGAGTGTGACTCAGGAAGCTGGCGGGGATCTGGCGCTGGAGGAGGACGAGCTGGAGGTCGACCAACCTGCTGTTTCTCTGCTCTTCCAGTTTCTGCAGATACTCACGGCGTGCTTTGGCTCCTTTGCTCACGGAGGGAACGATGTGAGGTAGGAAGGGGTGGTGTTCTTCTGAGGAATTTATGTGCATGAGTTAATTTAAATGATTGACATCTGAATTTTATGTCACTAGCAACGCTATTGGTCCGCTGGTGGCTCTCTGGCTTCTGTACGACAGCGGCTCTGTGATGTCCAACGCACCGACACCCATCTGGTTGCTGCTGTATGGCGGAGTGGGCATCTGCGCTGGACTGTGGGTTTGGGGTCGGAGGGTGATCCAGACTATGGGCAAAGATCTTACCCCAATCACACCCTCTAGGTATGCCACATATTTATATTCTATAACAGTTAAAACTCTGATTTTTCTTACCATCACATCAAACTATTTTCTATTTCAGTGGATTCAGCATCGAGCTCGCTTCAGCCATGACAGTTGTTGTGGCGTCCAACATCGGCCTCCCTGTCAGCACCACCCACTGCAAGGTAATCCAACGAACAACCCTTCTACAAATGCACATGCTCTTTAAAAAAAAAAAAAGTAGGCTCAGTTTTAAACACGTTTTACAAGCATGATATTTTCTTGAACCCTCTGGGCGGATCTACTGAATCACTGTCATGTGAACACAGGTGGGGTCTGTGGTAGCTGTGGGATGGCTGCGCTCCAGGAAGTCGGTCGACTGGCGCTTGTTCAGGAACATCTTCATCGCCTGGTTCGTTACAGTTCCGATCTCTGGGCTGATCAGCGCCGCCATCATGGCCCTCTTCGTGTACGTCATCCTGTGAGCCTCCCACGGTGCAGCCACACCGCTACGTGAACCGATGGACTGCCGCCAACAGCTCTTGTTTGACTCTGTGATAAAACTGTGCTAATAAACTCATTCCAGCTGTTCTCTGTTAATGATTTATATTATATCGTTCGGTGTAATTTCAAAGTCTGATAATACTGTGTAAATGTTTAAAAGACTGTGATCTTGTATATCCTCCTGTATATTTGTATAAAAGCAATGTGTATTAAATCAAATGATTACATTTTGATAGAAAAAGAATGGGCAACAGCCATATTTTACATTTGCATATTTGAAGATGGAGTTGCTTGATTTGAAGGGATTTCAATGTATTTTACTCAACATTAAACCTTTTTTTTGCCACTGATTGTTCTTGATGAGTATGTGTATGTGGGAGGGATGAGTTATAAAAACTGCTAACGAGGGCATCATGATGACGTAGATTTGTGCTGAAATATCCTAATTCAACAACTATAGTTTTAATAAAATTTCAGATTAAGAAAAGATATATACACAGTGGGTAAAATAACTATTGAACACATCACCATTTTTTCCACTTTTTCCCTGTGTCATTTTGCATTATTACACATAATTTATGGACGTCTATGGTCTGATTTCTTCACATGTGTGGATTGCATTATATATAACACAAAAATATATACTGTACATTAATCCTACTTCAAAAATGCAGCTGGTCAATCCTGCAAAGGGTTTATTTTTACAGACCCCACTGGGTGGTGCTGTTGCTGCAGCAGCAACCACAGATAATATGAGCTTTTCCTGTGCTACAGCCACACTGCCCCCCTCAGTCAAGGAAGGAGCTCTAAATGTTCACAAAAATATAACATCTGCAGAAGGTTTAAGTCTGCGTGCAATTTGTTTTTCACATCATCTGTACTTTAAAAGCGATTATAGTCCATATCTTTTAAACCCAATGGCAAAAACCGCTGACAACACTGATTGGACTAAGACTGAAATTTGGAACATTGTGTTACAGTGAAAATAGTTCACACTCCTCTTGCAAAGTATAAAATCACATCAAGAAAAGAATCAATGTAAAGTTGTACATCAAAGTAAAAGATAGCAATGTAAGGTTAAACATATACCTTAAAAACTAAAGTGATTTCTTACGTTATGACTTTATATATGAAGCACGTGTTTTGCACTGATTGTTGAGGTCAGCTGAGTTTCTAAAGTGGCAGTTCTACTTTTGGTGAGCTTTTTACTGTAAATACAATAGAAAGGAAGCAAAGAAAAGCATTTTTTTTACCTTCAAACTGTTCTCCAGAGTATTGAATTCACGCACAATCATTGAATTCAATTTGTGCACAAAATTTAAGCAGCTAATGACAGACTATTATGATTTAGATGCAAATATGAAAGTGTTTCCATGGTTGCTTTGTTTAGTAAAGGTTACCATGCGTAACACTGAGTGTTAAGACTCTCCTTTCAGTACTTTACCTGCTGGCAAGCTGGGCCTTGTGTGGTTTAAATGTTGTCTTTGGAGAAGGCGTGGGTTTCCTCCAGCTGCTCCGGTTTCCTCCCAAAGTTCAAAGACATGCAGTCTGGGTTAATTCGTGACTCTGAATTGCCCGAAGCTGTAAACATGAGTGTAAATGTTTTGTCTGTTTCTATGTCTCAACCTCGCCATGGAGGGATGAGAGGGTTCATGCTTCATACTGCACCGCCTTCTCCTTTCATCTGATCTCTTGTTTTCTCCTTTCTTTTACATTACCTCCACCGTGTAGAGTTGAAATTACTTCTAATCGAAAGCACAACACAGTAAGAATGAGAAAATGAAAATCAATTAGATATAGTGAGACAAAATGCAAACCAAATAAACACAAAGAGTTAGAAAATTAAGTCAAATTACACCAAAAACAACAAAGAGAGGAAAAACTATGTATAAATGTGTAAAAGAATTGACAGTAAAACAAAATACAAAACAAAAAGTGCAAAGTAAACAAAATCATCTAAAAGTTTAAAAAAAAGTACAACATAATAAAATACAGTACAATATGTGCAAAAATATATACAGAATGTTTTAAAATAAAATTAAAATACAATTCATTACAATAATATAAAGTAGTTATATAGTAGTACTTTATAGCTATATAGTAAATTGAAAGAGAATATGATAAAAAAGGCTAATGTGAAAAAACACAATAATAAAATACAGAAGAATTCCTTCATACTGGCACAATAAATTAAAATTAAAATTGTATAATAAATTTAAAGATGACAGCTGTCAAAGGAATAACGTAAATATTAAGGGCATACATTAAAGTAGAACATATAAGTATGAGTAAATAAACTGAAATGCAAATAAAGAAACACAGTAAAAAGGAAACAACATTTGTAATCACAAAACAAAACGTTTAAAATATTTTTAAAAAGACAAAATTAAAACTCATGTCAGTGTCTGAGAATACACTACACTGAAATTTTTAAAAAGCGTTGAAAAATGTAATCAATAAAATAGAACTAAAAAGTATGATCTCTTGAATTACAATACAATGAAATAGTACTCTATAAAATTAAGAAAAAAAAAATTTGACAAGGGGTACAAATAAATGAGAACGACAGAAATATACTGCAACACATAAAGGCAAATATGAATCAAAACAACAACCACAAACAAAACAAAAAGGTATTATCTATACACCACCTAATCCTCACTAGGGTCGCGGGGGGCTGGAGTCTATCCCAGCTGACTTCGGGTGAAGGCAGGGGACACCCTGGACAGGTCACCAGTCTATCGCAGGGCTACACTTAGAGACAGACAACCAAGCACACTCACATTCACACCTACAGACAATTTAGAATCACCAATTAACCTCAACATGTTTTTGGACTGTGTGGGAGGAAGCCGGAGAACCCGGAGAGAACCCACGCTGCACAGGGAGAACATGCAAACTCCACGCAGAAAGTTCCAGGTGTCCTCACCAGGACCTTCTTGTTGCGAGGCAACAATGCTAACCACCACTCCACCTTGCAGCCCAAGCTTAAGTTAGATCCTGTTGAAATCTAACACAACTCAATCAACTAAAAACATGCAATATATATATAAATATCCTTGTAGCAATGAAAACAGACTTCATGGACCCATAAGATGCTGTACTTAGATAAGTAAAATATGTCAGATACATTACATATGAGCCAACAGAAAAAAGGTCAACACAGTCAGCAGATTTGGGCTGATTATTTGAAATGCAATTGTTCATGAGATTTTATGGTTAACCCCCCTCCCCGAGTCCTCTGCAGCATCTCATCTGCTGGCCTATTTAGATGTTTAAAGCTACAACCCACTTCCACCCCCCCAGTGATCAAGTAATAAAGGCTCAGTGCGCTGGAGCCATTCATGAAAGGTCAGTCATTTATCAAAGTCAAACCTTGTGTCAACTCATCAAAACTGCCTAAGAAAGCAGGAAACACGCAGCTAACAAAGTTTTCTGTGTCCTTCCTTCACTTTCTGTTTGTTTTTGCTGATTAGTGTGGATGTTTGTGTTTTTGTCACTAAAAAGCTTTGCAGTAATTCAGAGTGCAGCATTGGACACACAGCTGTTTGATTTTATACTGAAATTCACCTTCCAGATGTAAAAGCAGCCGTTCTAACCAGGCAGTTTTGTTATTTCAGGTAGGTTTTTTTTTTAATAAGAGCTGTTGAGGATGCATCATTTGTTCCTGTCTTTCCACTGTGGAACAACCAGTAAGTCTGGAAAACAGGATTCCAGAGAAGCTTCAAGGTTGTTTACAGAGCGATGACTGTCCTCTTCATTAACACCATCAGGCCTCATGATGGCGCTGTTCACCCAATAACCGACACAGGAGGCTGGTTTTAAAGTGGATGAATCTTCGTCATTGTGGCAGATTCACCACTTCACCAGTATTTATCTGTCCAAGCTTCTTTGTCTTAACATTTATCATGTGCAGAGTGAGCTGTAAAACTGTCTGATGAGCTTCTCTGATTCAGCCAAACTAAAGCAGAACATGAGTTTAACCACAGGAAAACATTCCTTAAATTACAATTTAGTTGTCTGAATTGATCTGATAGGTTTTCTCCTCCTATGTGTCTCAGGTCAGACTAAATGCACTGAGACCATTAAACAGCTTCACATCCCCTTAAAATCTGCAGGTTAGTACATTTTTACTGAGGATGATGCTGACTGACAAACTAATGAAGTCAACATAAACTTCAAACATGAACAATCCTTTTTATGATTTTAGAGCTTTGATGATAAACACAAAGCAAACTATTTATTCATTTGTGTCACAAGTCCACACTGAGTGAATTCATATGCTAGAGATACATTTTTTACAGGATTTTACTTCCATGAGCAGCTCAGGAGAGGACAAAATGCAGCAGATTGGATGATGTTCGCCACATGAATGATTTGTCAGAGTAAAGATCCACTTAGCACAAATTGTGCAGCTATATCTTATTATTTAGTTTTGGATGTGTTTACAGCTGCAGATGGTAAAGTTTCACACAAATCAATTAAAATTTATTCATGAAATCCCTAAAATCATTACATGGTAGAAAATAATGGTAAAGAGATTCAGATCAGACAATTAAATATGATTTATGCAGATTTTACATTACATAAAGGACTAATTCCATTCAAACCCTTAAGTGTTAATCAAGTTCCACCTGAGCTGAGAGAGCAGCTACTGTTGTTACTGAAACGAACTGCATCAGTGTCGGGCAACATGTTTGGAAGGAAGCATCAGTGAGGTAACACTTCATTATATAAGTCCTGCCAGGCACAGGTTTTTATCTCAGGAGTCCTTTCCTCAGAGGAGCACCAGAAACGCAACTGTTCTACCTTCTGCAGGTACATTATTTTGGCAGCAGATGATACTGTTGTTCCATCCAGCAGGACTTAGCCTGAAGCTACTCAGCTGTGTTATGCACACAGCAAACCTTGAACACACAGACCCTGACATCAGTTTAACATGTGTGAGACTTCCAACAGTGACATCATCATTCACCCATGAAGGCATCTATAACGTTTAGACGCAAACATTTGACCTCTCTGCCTGCCTAAAGGTATCATTACACTGAAGGATAACTTTATTACCCTTTTTGGCACTGGATGGATGTTGCAGTGAAAACTGCTGCAAGTCAACAAGTGCTTCAGACCAGCAGTTATGATAATAGCATTATGGATAATAACATCCTCTCCTGCCTAATTCAGTTTAAAAGAGACGCAGCACTGCCCTGCTGAAACCTCATGACATCATCTGATATTAATACAGAGCAAACATTTTACATTCTCCATCTAAAAACATTTTATAGACGGTAAAAGTATAGATCTGGGAGACATACAAGCCTCTTTGTTTAATTATATACACATAAGATTTTTCTGCTATTAAAATAGAGGGCTATCTACTAGTTTGAACACAAAACAACAGATGTTTTTTTTTTAATGGGAAGAGTCATGAGTTCAAACGTCAGTGAAAATAAAATACAGTAACTGTAATCGGGATTTGTGAACGGCTCGTTTTATCTTAATCATTTGGCAATATTCAAACGTTAGTTTGGTTACACTAGCAAGTTCAGCATGTGTTATTAAACATTTATGCTGAGGTTAAAGTAAGGACAACATCGAATTTGAAATTGAGGTTAATCTTAAACAGTGTTTGTATACAGTCTAAAAAGTCACTCAAAGGACATATTCCTACCATTTAATCAAACGTGTGGGCGGTTGTGAGGTTTAAAATAATAAACAAAAAAAATCTAATTTACTGATTTCAATAACCGTGTCAGGTTGCATACATTATTTTAATGGGTTGGGTTGACATAATATTGTTGATCAACTTAATACTGTGTGTAATTTGAACTGAAATTTCTGTGTTAGTTGATTTAAAATTAAAATCAAATTGATATAACTTAATGAAATGGACTTGATGACTAGGATTCAAAGTCCCCTCCACCTTTGATGGCAGAGGAAAAGCTCAACCACCTATACCTCAGTGTAGTTTGTCGGTTTAGCATAATTTTAATAGCAGTTGCCATAACTTAAAAAGATTGGTGCAAAATGTGGTAATTAATTTTATTTCTTTTCAAACATCCAGTCCACACTTTATTTTTTTAGTGTGTATTTCAAATGACTTGTGAGATAAGATACCTCCTAGGACCTCTTTCCTCAGTAGTCGGGGCATCTTCTCCAGTTTAGGGGGGAAATGCCCCTATTTAAGATTTTACATTTATTTTTACTCATGTGTGTACTTAAAGTCTGTTTTGGTTTAACTGCCTTCTAAATGTGTTTATTTCCGCACTGCTGTTTACTCTGCTTATCAATTTCTTCTCCTTCGTGTCTCTAACTCTGATGTTGTGGTTTCTGTGTCTGGTTTGCAGTCTGTGCAATCCTGTGAGCACTGATACGAGCTATTTTAGTGTCAGAGGAGCGTCTGATGTCTCCCTGGATGTAGATTTGTTATGTGAGAATAAAATCGTGCACGGTAATACCGGTGGATTTTTTTTTTTTTTTTTTTTTTTTTTTAAATGCTGGGGGTTTTATTTTGAAACAGGACACCGGAGGTTGCACTCTTTTCTTTCCCGCTCGCGCTTGACACTTTGGATGATTCTATCTTTCCATACAGGTGTGCCTGGACATTTGTTTGCAAGCAGGCGAGGATTGCGTGTTTTACTATGTGAATGCATGATGATGATGCAGCGGAGCGGCGTTTCTGTGCAGCTCGCGCACTGACAACCGAGCAACTGGGGCATGCGTTCAGTGAGCACAGCGGACCAACAAGCTGCTGTAGTCTGTGGCACATTCACGGGAATAAAACGACGTCTTCTTATTTGGTATATACATTTAAAAAAAATAAATAACAACAACAGTGGATTACTGGAGCTGCAGGAGGTGGATTGTAAAAGAGGATCTCAGTTTGAAGGATAAGGAGAAACCACAGATGTGAGGAGGCAGGTGCGTTTCGAGATTCGCACCTTTTTTTTTTTTTTTTTTTTTTTTTTTTTCAATCTGATTTTTCGTCCGGATCCTGTGAAATGCAACCTCTACCTGACAGATGTGTGGCACCACAGCTGCAGCCTACAGGTCTGTATATCGCCACAATCAATCCGAGCGTTTTCCTGTTTGTTTGTTTGGTTTTTTTTGTGCACTGCAAAGATCGTTCAGCCTCCAACACAGAATACTGTTGAGAAATTAATAGAAGCAACAGAGACAGTGTCGCTTGTGAGGCATTCACTGCATCTGAGCAGCTTTCTGTGTAAGTGATCTTCTGTCTGCTGCGATTATAGTAGAATGTGTCTGTTTCTGCACACTGCTCTGTTCCTTCCACACTCATCTGATGACTGGTATTTTACTGCTGAGGCAGCTCACACACTCATATCCAGTTTTCGTTTCTACATTTTGAGTAAACAGAATTCCCATGAGGTGCAGGCCACAGTTGGGGAGGAGGGGGGGTTTGCTGTACCACAGAACAGGTTGTGTCATCTCCTCTGAAGCTGAGAAATAACTCCTGGGATAAACAGCAGTGTTTGTTTACCAGTGTCTCTGTGCTTTCTTGTCTTTTGTTCAGAGAGTGTCTCCTGTCTACCTGCTGCAGATCTGCTGTGGTCGGCGGTGGAGGACTGAGACTCCTACAGCTGCAAATCTCCTCATCAGCAGCATCTGCCACTTCAAACACGACAAGACACAAGGGGACGGAGGCTGCTTTTTGCCTGATCAAAGTGGCAGCTAGTCAAAAAGTACCTGTAGACGATGACTCCGGCGGAGCTGTTTGCTTGACAGCAGCATGAGATAATTGAGGACTGTCATACTAATCGCTGATTCAAGCTTTTTTTTTTTCTGTTTGACGCTGATGAAAATGTTCCAGGGTGTCGTCAGTTGACTGACAGGGTGGCAGTGGTGTTCTAGGACGGGACATAAGCCAGCAGCTGAAGCACAGACACCACGAAGGGGATGGCTCGTCCGGGATCGGGGTTGCTGGTGCCCATCAACGGACTGGGGTACCCGCCTCAGAACCTGGCCAGGGTGGTGGTCTGGGAGTGGCTGAATGAACACGGGCGCTGGAGGCCCTACAGTGCGGCGGTTTGTCACCATATCGAGAATGTACTGAAGGGAGATGCCCGGGGAAGCGTGGTTCTGGGGCAGGTGGACGCCCAGCTCTCCCCTTACATCATCGACCTCCAGTCCATGCACCAGTTTCGGCAAGACACAGGTAAGCAACGTCGAAGTTTCCTGTACAGACGAACACAGAAGTAAACAAACCAGGCAGTTCTCATGTCTGAAATACATCAATAGACTCACTTTGTTTGGCTCGTCTGCACAACAGATGATGTCATATTATCTCTCTGGAACCGGTTACATCCTCGATGTGGTTGCTACACAAATGCTCTGTAACTTTCGAGGGAATAAACAAGAGTCCTGAATGCCCCCATCGTACGCTCTGGGAGGCTCATGCAAATGAGCCACAGGTAGAGCCGAGAGGTGCTGCAACAGACAGAACACGAAGCACAAAGATGACAAAAAGTGTAGTGATTATTTATTCATCCGGGAGAGTCTTTACGCAGCTGCTGGGATGCCGTGACCTTGCCAAAGGTCATTACGTTGGAGGGGCTGTGCATCCATCAGGCAGATGAGGGCTGTAGCTCAGTGCGACACTCCTCCCTCTTCTCAGCTCACTGTGTTCATCTACTGTTGTTGTTGTTTATTTGTTACTTTTGTGGCTTGCGATTGAGTGAGCGGACGCAGTGGTTTCTGCTGCATTATCTCAGTTTATCGAACTTTTTGCACAATGGGAAGAAAACACCTCATATGGAACAATCGGGTTGGAAATTAGAAGCCGAATCGATACCCCGCTATGTGTGAACGACTGAGTGCTGAATCACAAAGTTCTCCTTCAGTTTTCTGTTTTATGTCGGTTCTGTGAGACAGCATGAGACCAACATTATCTTGATTGAAGAATCGATTGCCGCCGGCCACAACATACAGCAAACAGTAAAAGCTCTTGAACTCCCCCCCCTCCTGCTGCTACATGTCGCTTCAGAGTAAAATCCACCCTGCACTGCCTTTGTTTGGTTCACTGTAATTCTCTCTGATGACGGCTACCTTTTTAAACACGACCAGATGTTTTTGTTATGCTCCACCAAGGCTCAATAGACTCTCTGTGTTTGTCTCTGTGTGTGGATTAACCTTCCTGCTGTCCCTGTGTTTGAAGCAAAGATATGGGGGAGGCTGTAGACATCTGTTTAGACCAGCCTTGGAGATTCTCAGCTTTCTGAATTATTCTGCACGATTCAGCTGCACATCACTGTGTTGTAGTCAATTATAAACATATTAGCTATTTATTCTGATGTCTTTGTTAGATGCTCTGGGGGAGCGGGCAGATCATGTCTGCAACAAAACAATGTTTCATCATCTCATTAATGGGGTGAAGTGTGAAGATTACAACTCTTCTCACTTTTAAGTCCAAGGCAGGTCTCTTACTGTATATGAAGGCGTTATGTAACATCAGAGCATCACGAGGTGCAGGCAGATGCACATGGGATACACAGAAGGTGACCTCACCATGCATGGATCTCTATTGTGTCACCTCTTGTTAATTTGCATTCGCATTAATGCATATTCGTGGATTTATCTTGCAGTGTTATGTAAAGTAGAGAACGAGCGGAGTCTTTGGAGCATCTGTCAAACCAATAACCGGCTGATTGTGGGGGGGAAACTCTTAAAATGTAATTAAATATCTCTGTAAATGGTTAGAATCTGCCAGAACACATAGATCTGCACTGAGCAGTAGCTGTATATGTGCTGTCTTCTTGCACTGCATGTGTTTTTCTGCAGATGGGTGTTGCAAAACTGTTCAAGCTATAAATTTTGTGGAATGTGGCAGCGGTAGAAGTTGTGCCTTTTAAAAATAAATATGAGCACTAACAAAAATATATTAAAAACAGCCAGTAATGGATAGACTATGTAAATATGATGTCATTATGCTACAAAAGCTGATGTGAAAGCTACTGAAGGCATTTAAAAGACCTAGAGCCTCATATGGAGAATACATACTACATTGAATGACCACTTTTTGTATTGGTTTTATAGAGCTTATGGTAGGTAACACATGACATATCAGTGTTTTCTGGTTGGAAACTGTTTTCCGATGTTGGAAACGCTGAATATGAACACAGCTGTGTTCCTGAATGACTGTCAGGTGGGTTGTAGTATGAAGAGCCGCTTGGCTGGGCTTCTGCTGTTCTCGTTGGTGTTTTCCCCTCTGATAGAACATAACACAGAGCAGCACATGTGTCGAGGTTGACTGGCTGTGAGATGAGCCACTGAGCCGTTTGTCAGCCATTACCACGGTGCAGGGGCCAGGCCTGACGTTAATCGCCCCTCGTTGTGCCGTTCGGTGTGTTACCTTCCCCCCCGGCTGGGATAAACCTGTCACAGTGGGGCCTGACGGACAGCAGCCCGGATGCCCTCTCTCCCTTCTCTCTGGTCATCGTCTGCACTCTCTGTTCCTGTCCCTAAACGGAGGCAAAACTCCGCCACACCACCACCATCGATCCGAGCTCCCTTGAGGCCTAACTCCCAGGCCGTTGCGATGTTGTCGCACCCACCGCTTGCACAAAAGGCCTTCAGTAAGCTTGTCATAATGTGGATTGTGATGCATCTGTTTCACATCGGATGTTTGCTATATTTGTAGCTCAGCAGGTCACCCGCAGCCACTCGCTCTGTTGCAGGCTTATGGAGCGTCCCTGTGGGGAAACCCCATTTTGTCGCAGAGCCAGTGATCTCATCCTCCGAGGCTGCTTTTTTGGCAAGAGCTGGAAAGAGAGTTGAGCACACTTGACATCCATCGCGTATGCGTGTGTGTGTGTACGTCCTTGTGTGCGCAAATGTGAGTGAGTTGCTGACGTGTGTGTGTCAGTGCCCTCTGCCAGCTGTGGTGTTCGTGTCCCATCCCTGGAGGCGGTGTGGGGGCACCCTGCTCTCCTGTGGGTTTGGGAGGTTCTCCTGTGGGTGGCAACCGGGCAGAGTTACTCGGGCTAATGAGGCAGCAGCTATAGTTTAACTCCAGGGCTCCCTCTAATCAGAGCATCATGACGACAACACGCACCGCAGACGATGCAGCAGGGGCCCTGGATGGAGGGAGCGGCCTGAGCACATCTGGATTTAATTGGCATTCAAAGACAAAGGGCAAGGATTTCACCTCAGCACAGTTGCTGGTGAATTGCACCAGTTTGTGTTGAGATCCTGAACCCCAGTGCTTTATGTGTGCAGTTTGAGTGAAGGCTTAGAGGCTCGTATATGTATAGTGTGGCTAAGCATCTGGCTGAAGGCAGAAAGAGCACTGGCTCCGGGCCAAGAAGGATCGATCCGTTCTCCTCCCCAGAGGGGCATTTGAACCTCTAAACACTGCTGTGGACTGATCCCCTTTCACTACACCCACTCCCAAAGCAAAACACATGGGCTTATCTGCCATTTCCATCATACACCAACACTTGTGGTGTGTCTGATGGATTTCACACTACAGCTACTTGCTGATACTGCCTGACTTTTAGGGTCTTGTATAGCTCACATTTTCCTTTTTGATGGAGAGGTGACATGAATCAGAGATCATCTACAGTCATCTGCACTGTTGTAGCATCACTACATATTACTGGAAGAGGAACTAACTTTGTGGGAAGCAGTGATTGGAACACAACTAAATGGTCAAAAGGAACAACCACAGCAAATGGCCCAGCCTTAACTGTAATGCTAACCTGAAATGATAAGAGTTGCGCATTTATTCAATTTAAATTTTTTCCTTTATTTTTAACCAGTTTTGTTAATTGGAGTTTCATTTACTTAATCATACTAGGTTTTTTTGTTCATTAAATGGTCAGAAATAACAACAGAACATGTAGATTTGTCTCGGATAAGGTAACATAGACATATTGCTCTTACTGTTTGTGGACTGATCATGTGTACCGTCGTGTGTGGTGAAGCCTCGAAGGCCGTTTCTGAGCCAGGAAAAACCCTGCAATGTCAGTATTGGGGATTGGATTGATGCCATATCTGCATAAGCGGTCACTAAAAATAGTTCCTAATCACTTAAACTCAAACAAAGACACATGTGGTTACCTCACCAGTGGGAATGAGTAGTAACGTTTGTTGTTGGCCGATTAGGTTGTAACTACCGGCTGTTTTCATTGTTGGTTAAGCTGTTGATTGTTTTTTCAATCATGCGATTACTTGTCTGGACTGCAAAATGTCAGAAAACGATAGAAAAAAAGTCCATCAGTGTTTCCCAAAGAACAAGATGTCTTGTTTTGTCCAACTTATAGATATTTAGCTTACTGTTGTAGAGGATTTAACAAAAACAAAAAGAAAGAAGATTCACATTTAGAAACCGAGATGCTTAAAATTTGTACATGCATAGTAATTTTATTGAAAATTACACAAATTCACGAAGAAATTAGCAAAATAATGTGCGATTAATATAATAGTTGACAACTGAGTTAGTCGTTACAAACCCAATGACAAGATGGATCTTGCATTATCACTATTTTTCATATTTCCTCACACGCTGTGAGGGGAATTGAAATTCTGCTTCGACACCAGACAAACAATACGTAGCGTGCAGTTACTTTCTGTGTCCGTGCTGCATGTGTTTGTGGAGTTGTAAAAGGCCTTTGTGCTCACTGTTGTGAGATGGCCCATGTGTGACTGCAGAGATAACCCCTATCAGCAGCTGTTGGCTGTGGTTTCTGCAGGATTGGGCCTTTGTTTGTTTTGGTTCCAGAGGCGTGAGAACCTCCCCTGCTCTGGTCTGTTTCCTTCAGCTAAGTGCCCTCTCTGACTAATTACAGTGAAAAACGGCAGAAGACAAAGATCTCATCTTCTGTTATGTGTTGAGCTGCCAAGCAACAGCAGTCGTAGTGGTGCTTTCAATGCTACCTGCAAACTTGTTGAGCAAATGTAATGCTGCAGATTGTCGAAGAGCACGGCGCATGTGATTTTTTTTTTTTCTTTCTTCTTTAATGTAGTTTAGTGTGTAGTAAGTGCGTGTGGGAACTGTTTTGGTGGTCTGTGGGAGGAAGCTGTAAAAAGGATTTCTGCTATGTACGTGCTAAAGGTCAGGTGCTGTATGCATCAGCTCTAACTGTGAAATCCCACTTGCGTCAGAAGAAAGCACAATGAGCAAAGAGTGGAGCCCAACGAGTCTGAACTCTACGCTTG